CAATAGCGTAAGAACATTCGCGCCGTTGAGACGAATTTAACGCACTTGGCCGCGTCGAAATCGGTTCAGCCGTTCGCCCAAACATTAGCGACATTATCAATCGTGTATACGTGGTTACGGATGTAGATAACCAGTTTACGGAGGACTACATCCGTAACCAGTTTGTCGGCGTCGGATTTTGTTGATTAATTTAAGGTGTTGTTCGCATCGAGGCCGGTGGCCGAGGTGTGTCGTGTCATTTACGGACATGAGAACAACTTGTCCATGTATGTCTATGGAGGCCCATGGAAACAACTTTCCTTTCCGGTCCCCTTTTTTCCCCTCGAGGGGCATCGTCTCGGTAATAGCGTAACATCCATCGCGTCGTTGCAACGGTTCTGGCGCATTTGACCGCGTTGAAATCGGCCTACCCAATCTCCCAAACATAGGTTTTTTTACCTTATGCCGTCACGGTTGTTACGGATGTAGTTAACCAGTTTACGGAGGACTACATCCGTAACCAATTTTCGGCGTCGGCTTTTGGTGATTAATTAATTTTGTTTTTGTTCGCATCGAGGCCGCTGGCCGAGGCGTGTAGTGTCATTTACGCACATGGGAACAACTTGTCCATGTATGTCTATGGAGGCCCATGGTAACAACTTTCCTTTCCGGCCCCCTTTTTTCCTCTAGGGGCGCATCGTCTCGGTAATAGCGTAACATCCACCGCGTCGTTGCAGCGGTTCTGGCGCACTTGACCGCGTTGAAATCGGCCTACCCGTTCTCCCAAACATAGGTTTTTTAACCTTACTCTGTCACGGTTGTTACGGATGTAGTTAACAAACAGCCCATGTTAAGCTAATGGCCACCATGGTAACAAGCTTTTGAGTGACCACTGGATTGTGGGTAGTGGGCATTCCAGAAAATTAATGATGCAGGAACACTCTCGACACTGAGAGGATTCTGTAGCACTTTAGAGCGTGCAGATTGGATGTGTGGAACGGGAGAACATTCGAGACAACGGCAAAGTGTCGGGGACCCTTGTCACGTAGTTAGTATCCAGTGGTCACTCAAAAGCTTGTTACCATGGTGGCCATTAGCTTAACATGGGCTGTTTGTAAATCCCCAGATTGTTACTATGTGTTATTATATCGAATTGTCATTGAAATTAGCGAACTGCGCATTAGCAAAAATAACAGGTTCTGCTCACGCCTGTTTATTTTGTTCGTGCCTCCTTAATGTAATAAACATCGTGCCATTATTTACGTTAATACATATGCACTTAACCCTTTTACATGCTCGAAATCCTAAGACATTATTCATCCGTGCTGGGCTTGTATTCATCTAACTATATACGTATCTCTATATATACTATATACGTATCTATATACTATATGCTATATACGTATATACTATGTATCCTATATACGTATCTCTATATAATATATGATACGTATCTATATATATACGTACAGTCTGTATATCTATACGTCTATCTATATGATACGTATATCTACCTCGTATATCTACCTCGATGGTGTTATACAAGAACATAAACCGATCAAACCATTAATAAAACGTAATCCACAAATCAAAGATTTTACTGCAATATTAATTATCAGGTTCGCAGCTTAGAATTTTACGCAATGTAGAAGCCACGACTGCTATAATGTGTATTAGACGAATGATAAGTCCCTGGCACTTGTCGGCCAATGGAGATTGGCTTTTCCATTTTCCAGGCACCGGCATCCATCAGATCTTTGTAAATGGCAATCCGGGGCACTGACTTCTTCCACTCTTCTCCCGTTTCTCCGGTGGCCGTTGTCAGTGCGCAGTAACGCTGTTGCAAAAACGCAATCATCCACTTCTGTTCACTTTCAGTGCTGGGTCAGCCCTTTTCCCTTGTTAGCCAGGGCTTTTCTAAACGGCTCAAAGGGATTGTTGTCCGGCTTTCTGCGCATGTACTCCATGATAACTTTTTCTCCGTCTCCGTTATACGTTGTGAAACCGATAAAACCAAAGGTCACCCCGCGTCCATCACCAATGTCTTCAGCGTAACCATATTGCTCTGTAGTTTTAGCATTCTCGAAAATGCAGGTTAAGCTTCGTGCTCGAAGGATAAAAGGATCTGTTTCCATGGTCAACCAAAGATCATGTGCAGTGCTGTATATATGTAGAATGCAAATCCCGACTTCAGCGAATAAACAGCGTAATAAATATTTCGAAACAGATTACTAAATTTAGTGCCGATAAAGAAGTCGGTGAAATGAATTAATCCGTTTTATATAATGTACCAGAGAAAGCTGAAATATGTGTTGATGAACGTTGACTAACGGTTCATTCATCATATATATCCGCGCTAAGACACGATTGCGCTTAATTTTACAGGTGCAGTAAGAAATTCGTCGTCATTATATTGTTTAAGCTGATAGCGATGCATAGTTAGCCAAATACTTATCTGCGATTGTCAGTGCTAACAACTACATCAACAAAATCGCTGCATTGAGCATCCAGCATGTAAGCCAGGGCGGCTTAGATAGACTTTGCATTCCAAAATTTTCAATGCAAATTTTCAACTAAAACTCGTGTGCACCGTTCGTAAACAGACCATGTTATCACACCGCAAACTTGGAACTCAGCTTTCCTATCGGCTTTGTGTGATTATTTGAAATGTTGTGCTGCCGACTTCATAGAATTTAGGCAGGCCTAAAAAGATAAATTATGGATTGCAAGTTTAAAAGGCGTTCTAAAACAATGTGTTATATTTTTATGCAGTTTGGAACGACTGCTATTATGTTAATAATGTACGGTAGAAATGCAGCCGACCGGTTTTGCCTACGGAAGTTCTGTCGTCCAGGGCAAAACTTTCGTTAATGAATCCGCCCGATTGTGACCTTTACATATTGTACATGTACAAACTGAATATTCAGCCTTTATTGTCACACTGGTTGGTACAGACCAAGATCGTCGATAGTTCACAGTTTCACAAAAATGACCAGAACAAATTTTTACGTAACTGACAGTAAGACAACATCATAGATCTTACTACTGTAATTTAATGGTTAATTTACCCTTCGGTTACCGGGTTCGATCACATCGAAGTCTCAAAAGGGTATCGGATGGCAAACACAGACTAAAGTTTCAATATTCGTCAGTGCGCAAAACGATCGAAATAATGTAATTAGGGACTCATGTCATCACCAAACTAAAAAAGAGAACAGTGTCTGAAACTCTCTAGAGCAACCTAGGACGTGACGAGTATAAAGTCATTACTTCCACTGGCTATGTTAAGCAATAGAGTATGAGGAAAACAATTACAGTATGGACTATGGACACACAGTCTACACTATAGCGCATGTTTAGCGCGCCTATTCCCGATCTATGTATTAAAAGAATCCACGAATACAGCAGCTTTCGTTCTTCGTCGCTTATCCCTATCCAGAGTGAACCGTGAACCTCATCTGGTTGTCCTCTTCCTTTACGAGGCTGCCGTAATCTTAAAACCTACATAAACGAATCGACTTATACCACAGCAACGTTCATAGTCAAACTTCTATCTATAAGAATTTCTTCATATGTAGTCATACGTACTTCATAGTAAGTTCATAGTCATACTTCTATCTATAAAAGTAACTGCATGCACAAGTATCGTGTGCACATAATCTGCATTGGCAAACGAAATTGACAATACCTGTCGCGTTCCAGCAGCCGATGATTGTAATTGTGACCTTTCTGTATCGTTTACGTTTGATGGGTGGATTGCGGCATTCTTATTGGTACCTTTTTTGTACCCTACTTCATCACCTAGCGTCAGCTGTACAGATACGCCTACGTTCTCCAGCTCGAGCAAGTTACAGATGCTGTAACAAGCAGACCTCACAGCTGTTGATGGCTGTTCATCCAGCGCACTGCAGCAGCACAATTGCGAGAAATCAGCGAAATGATACTGTGCTTTGAGTCCCAGACCGGGAACATTTCTTGTCAACCAACTGTGAAGTCGTGTCCAGTCGGGATGGGCTTGTACAGGGTCTTTGTGCGCCTCTGATTTCATGTCAAAGAAATCGCGCATCCAGAGGACTTTCAGGACAATGTTGACCTTTGACGTCTGGACCCCTATTGCGCTTAGCATGTCGATTATGGTATTGACATGGCGTACATCGTCCGAGAAAGAACCAGTAATGGTGACCATGGGCGTGGAGGCCTTGACTGTCTTACGTTCAGTTTGTACGGCAAAAAGTGATCATGTGGGAACTGGCTTAGACAGATCGTCGCTGGCAATGGAGACGCTGAAATCACGGCATCCCAGATTTGACACACACGCCGGCATCACTGTTGATTGTGCAATTCCAGGCTCAGGAAGACTTCTCACTGCAGTTCCAAAGGCAAACCGATCAACGGGGATCCGGAAATCTCGACATCTGCCGTCTCCGCTCTACTGGCTTTCTAAAACAAAAATAAATTATGACAATAGTGCAGTCTACTGACGGCAGTACTTAATATGCACTATTAAAGAGCGGCGCTGGTTGGTTATTAAGATATGATGGGGTTGGTTCTGGCAATTCTAGATCTGGTCATCCAGGCAGTACATCAGGGTAATCAGCATTTTACAGTTCATTTTTGAACTTTATTCAAAACTAGTTGACCTTGTTTTGTCCGGGAGCCTGTTCGCTCTCAGCAGTTCGGGATACGGTAATTCTTTGTTCGGAGCACTGAAACAATACAGTAGACACGTACAGATACAAGAAAACCCCTCTCCGAATCCTGCCAAAAAAGATACGATGGAAAGTAGGGACCCAGCTGCAGATTTTTGCCCACGTAACGTTGTTTTTCCCAAATTAGTATTATTGACGCTAAAAAGCTTTGATACAAACAACCAACCCGTTGGTTTCCGGCTTCGATTTGGTGCAGACAGAACGGGAAGACTGTGCATTTACTCGTACTTTATAAAACTGTTTATGAAAATGTTTTAGCCAGTCTATCGGACAGAACCTACAGTACTGCACTTGCCAATTGCGGAATTCGCGAATGTACCGGGTGTTTTATTACGCCCAGATTTGCCGTTCAACTTACAGTTAGCAATTCACAACGTCACCGTGATAAAAATTACATGAACAAAAATTTATTTACAGCTTTGTACAAATCCATTTAGTCCAAACAGATAAGCTTACGTTTATACGTGCAATTGTACACTACATAGTACATACATAATACAGACAGCGATGCTCGCATACCGATACATACAGTATAACAACGAAACATAATTTCTGGGACTATGATTTTGGGTTATAAACAATTTTTCCCAAATCCTTAACAGAATCACCCGCACGGTCGACAGCCTTTCCCCCCTGGTTAGCCGCCTTGTGGCCTTGCAACGTCAGCGCATCACCCACTGCCGCTAGTCCGTGCCCGACCGATTTTGCGGCATCGATTGCCTGCAATGTGCCCACAATTGAGCCAAATGTATGCGCATACGTTACGATAAAATAAAAAGAAAATTTAATTGGGTGTGATCTAAAAAGGATTATGGTACAGTGTACTCTGTAATACAGTAATATTAATAAATAATAACTGTTCACGAACGCACAAAGCTTTTGATTAGTATTAATTTTTGTACTTACGGAATTTACTAGTTGCCGGCGTTCTCGCGGGTTGCCCTGGCAAAAGACAATGCTGCACAGCATAAGGAATACACATAAGAGTAATTTCTGCATGATAACGATAACGGAGATCGATAACGAATTCTTGCAGCTTATATTCTGCTTGCTACTGATGCAATAAATAAAGTGATCGAAACGGCTGGAACGCACATGATTAAATACGGCTTTTTTGGAACTTTCCCGCATTTTTTTGAAGCTCTATACAGCAGCACCACGTATGCCTACCCGGAATTTGAAATACGCGAAATCTGCAGTTATTATTACCGGTACTTAAGTATAGTTTAATTGTGTATTATTGTCCGACTTGTACTGGCGCATTACGCACCCAAGTCGTGGAGGCAAGGCCGGTGTCTATGTCCGGTTATAGCAGTACAATAAACGGGCCATAAATAAGTACAAGAAATTGTTCGTTGAATAAGCTACCGTGCAAAAGTTCGTATAAAAAATATGATTTATTTCATAACAACAAACACGTTTTGGAAATTTCTGCTCATGAACATTTTAGAAAAATGATTTCAAGCACTGCACGGCATTGTACCCGAGGCGCAACATCATGACGCTGCAGTTGTACACTGTGATACCGTTGCTTGGAATGTAACTCACACCAAAACAACACTAGTAAGTAACGTATAAAAGCATCGTTTTTGAACGGCTTTAGGTTTTAAGAGGGCCAACAACTGCACCGCACAGAGGTACAGTACGACTGTACGAGTACCCAATTACTGTACTTAGTACATTTAGTATAAGTTTTTATTATGATTCCACTCTGCCAGGTTGAACATCGAAATAATTATTTGATTTATTTCGTTGTAGCGTCAGCACGCACCCTAGTCCATAATACAAAATGATAATGTGTCTTCATTTGCATCAGCATGCTGCTACAGCAGAGTAATTAAATGACCTGTACCAATATTATTTTTTTATTTTTTGTGCACCGGATATTGTGCTTTTTAATTGCATCGAATCGAAGGCAGAGCCTAGAGTAGCATGTACTACTTCGAAATTGGCAGGGAGGCAAAATATAGAAATCTACTTCTGGGATTTCCCTTTTTATTATAAAATACAGCATTTAGTAATATTATGGTCACATGCTGCATGTACATGTAAAACCTATTATAAAGTATTAGTATACCCGGACGGTTATCAGTTTAAAACTTCGTATCAGTTTCGGAGTGAAACAGTTTTATTAGAAATTTTCCACCACAGGTGACAGCAACATGAGGAAAAAATGCATGTAATTCAGATTCTTAAAAAAAAGCACTGCAAAGGAATTTTTCTGCATCACGGTCCACGGACCATCCATTCGTATTTTCGATCTCATGACGCGTATATACAATTTATACAGCGGTATCCGACTCAATCCGTGGTCAAAGGCATTCGGTGTTGACCTTCGTTTTACGGCTTATTCGGGTTGTAAATGGCGTGGCCCAAGTCACCGACGGCATCGCCAGCCCGGTCAACGGCGCGCCCGCCCTGGTGCTCGGCTTTGGCTCCTTGCAGGGTTAACGCATCGCCTGCCGCCGCCACTCCGTGTCCCACGGCTTTTGCCGCATCAACCGCCTAAAAACAAATTCGTTGAGCAAAGAGCATTGCGTATAATTACGGGAAGTATCATAACCATCTGCACCACGGCCCCGTGAAGTGTGAACACATACCGCATTAACAACCTGCCGGCGATCCCGTGGACTGGCATGGCAAACTGCCACCAACACCGCGATAAATAGGTAGAAGGTCAGCTTATGCATTCTAGCAGCAAAAGGCTTTAATTTATAATTTAGATAGTAACGAAGCTCGGGATGAAGTTATTGTATCTTACAACTGAGTTAAAATTACTAAGTGATGCAAAGGGTTTTTATACACCGGTTCGCTTATAGACGGGGGAAAAGAAAATGTTTGTACGGGAAATGCAATCACTGGTTTCAGATCTCTGATAGCAGATCTCTCACGCTGCCACAGTTTCAGTGTGTGGTCAGCGCATAGCAGAGTTTCAAGAATAGCGAAATGGGGAATACACAACGGTTACTGCAGGATTTCCCCAACCGACTATCTAAAAAAATCTTGCCCATGTGTAAAGCTGCTTGTTACTCGTACTATGTACATCCAATTATAGTTAATTATTGATTTCGGTTGTTTTGATAATACTGATTTCGGTTGTTTTTTAATTCTGAATTGTGCAGTAGTTGACCGTAGTGATATGAATTACGACTGTTATGTCGCGATAAGAACATCAATAAAGAGGATACGTCAGTTATTGGAAGTCATGCAGAAACGTAGTTGCGCAGGGTACAGTACATATTCCCTGACTGCTACTATACTTGCAGTTACATAGTCACATGTCATGACATCAGTAAACCATTTCGTAAAATTTAAAAGTCAATGTTTAAATTTTAACTATTAAGTAGTGTATCGACGCTTGCCATTATTGTTATCTTGGTGGCTATTGCCAATTAAAATTCCTTCCGTTGCAGCCTTGCAGGCTGGCAGCCTGTAAAACGTAAGCGACGCTAGTGAAACATGCAAGGTTCACAAATAATTAACCAGAATCAATCAAGGAAAGCGCGATCAAAAAACGACGAAAGATAAAAATTATTGTAACTAGTAATCAGTAGTAATGCACTACTGGGTCGTGATTTGTATAGAGCCACACAAAGACCAAAATGTTTTAACACTATGCATACCTCACATACTTCTATGCACAGATTTATTGTCCAACATCGTGGAATAATTATCCTGTACACGAAAATGTATGGCAGAGCTGCCTGCAGAAGCCAGAAAGCTAGCGCATATCGACCGAAAAATGGAGCCTGCATAATACTGCCGGTTGCAGGCTATCTTTAATCACGCTGTATCTGCAGATGCACAAGAACGTAACCGGGTATTGATCAGGGAAGAAAGCCGGCATAATATCGCGCGTTTCAGGTAGCAAATTACCAATGCTAACCCAAATGATGTTGTTTTGAAAGTGTGATGTTACCGCATTTTGTGAAATAAAATCATCCGTCTACACATTAAAGATTTAGCAATGAAAAGGCTTTAGCAAAGCTATAGCTGTCACAAGAACGTAACCGGGTGCGTATCGATCAGGGAAGAAAGCCGGTCTATAGAACATCGAAATATCACAGGCGCCATCAATGACAAAATGGATATAAATGTCCTGTTAACAGTCCAGGAGACCATACGTTATATTCTGTTAAATTAATGGACCCAAATGAAATCCGTTAGTTTTTCCCCAACATCCACATGTAAATAAGACATACAAAAACCAAACACGGTGACATTCATTATTTTAGTGAGAGGAGAGTATAATAAAAGAGGACTAGACAGCTATTTGTTACTGTTTAATAAAATTTTGTTGCGTAATCAAAGTAAATGTAGAAAAATAAGATAAATTAACTTTTCTAACTGGAGCGGATCCGTGTCGCCCCGGTGCAGTTGTTTGACGTATCAGCACTTGACGGGCGCAATCAATCCCATCATAGAGACATGAACATTAATTTTGGTTTAATTTTATTTCAGATGACTGGAGAGATGCCGCAACTTAACGCTTTTGATTTTGATACCGATGCATTGCATTGGTGTTGCCGCTCTTCCCCCGTTTCTTGTTGTTATGCTGCATCATCTTCTTTCCCGCTTCCATAACGACGCGGGCTGCTTCCGGTCTGAGTGGACGTACCTTTGCAGTGGCTCTAGAGTACGTACATGTAGTACTGATTGTACACACTACAGTAGTCGAGTCATATTTGAAAACGCTGCAACAATCACTTGAGCATTTACGGCTGTAAAATAATAGCGCTCTATAACGCTTGCGGGCCAACCTGAACATAGAATATACAACGATAACTACAACGTACTTCGATCGATAACTGATAACTACTTTGCAAATTGTGGACGAGCACCGAAACCGGACTTTTGTGGACGCACAGTTTCTACTTTCCACGTCTGCCACATCAAAACTGCTCCGGCGAGTAACGCCAGAAAACCATCGATCACTAGGAACGCGATACGACGCGGCTGATAAATCGTCGACGCATTCTGTAGAACAACAACAGGATTCTACACTGTTAAATATAAAGAATTCAGCAAGCCACGCTAGTTTATAACCAAAAAATAACGATCATGTGTGGCGCGTTGACAGCTTTCCGCTTGGGCTTTTTTGATGGTGTATGGAGGATACAATACCCGGTTCCAGGTTGTGATCGCCGGCACCAGCAGCACGGTTGGTAAAACAGCCCTCGAACTAATATTCTAGTTGTGTGTTTCTTTCTCTATTACCAGAACTGTGCGAAGATTGTTTAGAAAATGCAGTAGAAAAGGTACGACGTGGAAGCGACCTGCATACATGAGTTTGTATGCGGTACCAACTGACAAATGTAAAGAATAATCGGATCCGCTTCAGGAGGAAGCTGCAGGTTGCTTACGCACTGCGTGGCGGGTGCACGAACACCAAATGACACAATCTAATAGTACCATTGATCCCACCCAAACTCCGCGTAACGCGTTTCTACCCGCACAGATATCAAAAGTTACACAATATTTTCATCTTTAAAAACCACATCGCATAAAACATCCTAAACGACAGTTACGACACAATAAAATTACACACACTAAAAGTATACTAGCCGCGAGGAATATAGGCGATCTTAGGCTTCGTTTTCCGGATTACATCTGAGTCCGGGATGGCTAACTCTGCGAATTTGACATTGTAATCCCGATCACCGATCTGAATCAGGTATAAGGCAGACTCATCCTTTTCCAGACAGTAAACTGCCAGCTCTCGAGTCTTTTCGGTGACATAATACACCTTCTGACCGGTTTTCAGAATGTCCGCAGCACGGATGACGTTCTCCGGTTTATGTTGCGAGAGGTTCTCTTTACCACACAGCGAAACAACACAGCGCGATCCCGCAACACCTCTAACCTCACCAGGTAACCAGCAATTATCACCGCCATGTTTCACAAACACCTTTTCCATATCTTTGATGACCACAAATTCGGATGTATCGATGCGGATCAAGGCGCTGTTGCGTGGCGAAGTTGAATACGGCAGTTCAGGCTTCTTGACCGCATGCTTGTACAAAAAGATGTCCAGTAATTCTTTTCGCAGGAGCAAACCGCTCTACAAGAACGCGAAGATCACGAGTCTATCATAAAAATGCAAAGTCTGATGTACTGCACAAGCAAAGACCGCTTACTTCAGCTGGACCGTCAGCTAGTTCGGCGTCGCTCAACAAGGGAAAACGGACAAGGAACAATGCGTCGCCCAGGATTTCGCGCCGGTTGACCATCGTAGGATCCACGTGATTGCGCGCACAATTAGCCGCCGCCCATCTAAGACAGCAGACATTTACATAATATATCTATACAATTTTTTAAGATATTCCCGTCGTACCGGCAGACTCACGGTTTAATAGAAAAGTTCAAAAGGCATGCGGTATCCACTTTGGTCAAAAGATAAAACCGTATTTTTAGCCTTCGCTTGCAGCGCAAAAAACTTACGTTTTTTAAAACTTTTCAGCATCGCACCGAAACACTGGTAACCACAAAATCTTCTGTGCATTTTTGCTATACAAAAGTCAACCTTTACACTGTACCTTTCCACAGCCTGGTAAACCGTATTCTCGTCAGCCGACAGCGTATCCCGCTGCAGAATCAACATCAACGCCTCTCGCTGTAACGATGCGAACTGTTTCGACTGCAGAATGGCTTGACTCGAAGCGTCGACCAACTCAAGACATTTGGCCACAATACTGGAAACTCCATAGTGAATAGCCTGTAAAATATTTTATAAAACATGAAGTACGAAAGAATTAAATCTGTTTGAAATCTTTGTGATCCAAAATTTCAAACGCATACGTACATCATCCAAATGGACCAGACAGTTGTCGGTGTTGAGATGACTGTGAATGAAGCTGGAGCACATGTCCACCAGCAGCGGCAAGTCGTATTTATCGGCACAGGCCAGGGTTCGAAATGCGTTTCCCTCGTTGAGATCCTGCACTTCATCCGTGTACACGTAGCTGCAAATGCATCAAAGACTAAAGTTGATAGCAATACACGAAAGTACCCTTCACGAAATTAAGAGCAAAGTGTTCTGAGGGCGATCCGTATTCCTTAGCAGCTGGAAGCATTTCCATCACTTACCTGAGCATATTAGCAAAAGCTTCGGGATGAACGTCGGGGATATTGATGGCCTTCTTACAACGTTCAGCCAAACTACCGTTGAACATGGCATGGAATACATCGCTCCGCATACTCAAGACATACCTGCAATTTGCAAGTAGATTATCAGAAACTGATAATCAAGCAACAAGCTTGATGATGAAGTAAAGTGGCGAACCACAAACTTACCTGTGTGAGCGGAAAGATTGGGCTTGACCATAATCGAGCCCCACTGTGAACTGCACATCACACAGATCCCCGTTGGCTAACGTTCCTTTCATGCAGTTAACGACACCCCGGACCGTACCTCGTCGTTCCCCATGAGAGTTTTGCGACATAGTGACACAGGAAGCAATGGCAGACAGTGTGGACTTCAAGACTTGGTAATATTGAGCTACCCGACACAGCCAACAAATTACTAATTAAATAAATAAAAAGCTGCCCAAATTCCCTCCGTGATACCTGTTGGCTGGCGACGGAATATGGCTGACGCTAACGGCTAACAGTCGAGTACATACTTTCGCATACTTCTCTGTTTGTACTAGTACTCATGCTTTTCTAGAACTTTCTCTTTTCTTTTGGTTTCGTAATGATCTGTTCTGGTTTATCAACACGGATGCGCTATTCGCTTATACATATAAGCCGCGAAGCAGCAGTAAGTGAATCATGGCATTAGCATAGCGTATAGTTTGTACATACCATAATATTATAAGTATTCACTGTGGCATTAGCTTCTGAGCAGTCTGATTTTGGGAGTTTCGAACTTTTGGATTAAATTGTCGTCGGAGATGCACTTCTCGGTTCTGTGTGCAGAATCCCAATCGGCTTGTGGAACTACGAAAGTACCATTGGTAATATCAGTTTCTATTTATTATACACGTACTGCTATGTCAGAGTTGAGATTCGCTTTGTCCTTTGAGTACACAGACGACTTTTTCTTAAGACAACGTTTAGCAAATAAGCGCACCGGACGGTTATATTCAATCTATCGGGAGCGGTGGCGCGCCGCATTTTTTGTCTTCGGCCCTTGTGTGTTTTTAACTGCCGTTGCGAACGAGCGCCGGAACTGGACTTTTTGTGGGCGCACCGTTTCCATACACGTCTGCCATATCAAAACTGCTCCGGCGACTGACGCCAGAACACCACCAATCACTAGGAACGCGATACGAAGCGGCTGATAATTCGTCGACGCATTCTGTAGAAAAAATACAACAATTCCACACTGCGCAAAAGCAAAAAGAAATCAGCAAGCTAGGCTACTTTACCCAAAAATAACGATCATCTATGGCACGTTGGTAGCTTTCCGCCTGGGCTTCCTTGTTGGCGTATCGCGGATAGAATACCAGGATCAGGGTTATGATTGCCGGCACCAGCAGCACCGGGGCTAAAACAGCCGCTGAACTACAACAAACTGGTATCAAACGTCCTCATACGCAACGACCTGTTATCAACCGTCCCAAATGGGTTTGTATACTGAACGAACTTAACGCACTGTTTGCAATCTGATTCGAGCTGCAGATTACTTACACACTACGTGCCCGAACGGCTCGAACACCAATGGCAAACAGAATCAACGATCCCACCCAAACTCCGATCAGAATCCAAACACCTGTTCCAATAGTGGAGGAAGCCATGAAAGGCTCTTGGCAATCAATTCCGTGGCTCAATAGCTGTTTGTAAAAGTTGTATGTACTCTGTATATGCAGTATGCAGTCAGTTCATGGCCGCCAAACTTTCGAAGAATCGGGCGATTTTGGTAATGCTGCTGCTGTATCGGCGCTTTATAAAACAGTATACCAAAAAAATTGAACAATTGGTATACTAATCGGTGTCGTGCATAATAATTATTATAAAATCGGCTCCACGTATCGTCGTTTCAGGTATTCATACGTACTGAATGAATGTTCGCTCACGCTAAGCAGGACCAGCGCGCGATCAATAAATGCGCGGCAGTTGCGATTTAGTGCAGTTTGCACTGCAGGTGAATTCGTGGGTTTCAAATCGATAACGGCAGTGATACAAATTTATGAAAATTACGCCGTCTGACAAGGAATTTTACCGCCGTTTACATGGGCCGGTCGTTGTCCCGAGCGGTGTTGTACTGTACGTATTATTACTGTACGCAGTTGTACTGTAGTATTACTGTAGTATTTCACTAGCACCTGTATGCTAAACACAAATTGCTAACTGCAGCCGCATGCATTGTAAGAAGTATGTACGTTTCAGTACGTTTCGCTACTAATAGTTCCCTGAGACAACCGCGGTATTTCATTATAATAATAGGTGGTGTCTTAAAAATGGTGGCCCGAGACAAAAAGTGGTGAAAACAGTGGTGTCGGAAGCCTGTGGTGATAAAAGGTGGTGCCCGGAACACTCTCCATATATATACTATACATATGTTGTATGTATTTTACTATAATAATTTGTGCAATGATCGGATCGGCCTTTTGGTGTGTGCGGCTCAAGTAGCGATAATCGGTGGTATGAAAGCGGTAAGATTGCAAAGAATGTTGGTGAGGAACTGCGACGTGTCGTTACCGTCGTAATCGGGATCGACGAGCAGTGCGCCGACAATGTTCTGACAGGAGCCCAGCTGGCGGTGGTCAAACGCACCGTCGGCCAGCACTGCCGTGCCGTTTAAATCTGCCGGTGTCTCCAGCTATAGCACATTTCCGGCCTGCCAGGTATTTCTGTAGATCAACAAGGAAAAGTCAACAACAATGAAAAGAAAACAAGGAAACAGTTAAAGTGGAATACATGTACTGATAAATATTTATAAAGCCCAGCTCCAGAGTATACCAAATGAAGCCGGTCAGTGGGCATTTCAAGGTTACTGTCGCTGGGGTTATTATGAAAATTGCGGGCGGCGAACGATTTGTCAACGTCGACAGCATCACATAGCTGAAATTGGCGTGTCCAGGTAGAAAGCAGCCTGCGCCGGGTGCCACGTGAAGGTCAGCGCCACATGGAGAAGGTCAGCGATAGCGGACTGCCGACGGAGGTGATCGGGCGGCATTGGATGGTTGCTCGTCCAACCGGTTGATGCTGATTACACTGGTCAACCATGTACACTCAGCTGATATAAACCATTGATGTACCTGCAAAACATAGGCTGAAAATTTACGCAAAACTAGTTACAAGTTAAATCGCTCAAAATTAATGGAAGAAATAGGATCACGGAAAACTGGGCGAAGCCGACCGGAAGTTCAAGCATGCAAAAAGTCACGTTATGACCCCTAACCAGTGCCATCCAAATTTTATTGAGTAATTTTAAATTTTTCGAATTTACTTACTTTTACTTTACTGCTTTGATTTAGGGGAGACGTCAACATGGTACTTAACAACGGCGGATCCATAAGCATTTGTGGCTGTGCATTGGTAATGTCCACTGTCGTTTACTTGTATCGCGTCGATGCGCAAATGGAAAAAGAAATTTGGTTGATGCCGGAAAATCCTTTCCGTCTACGCACAGTAAAAAATGCCAAATGATGCTTAAATGGTTTCTCAATTAAACATCTAACCTGAACAACAAAAACAACTTTAACAAGTAAACTACCGCCACGTACTGTCAGGAGAGGGATTCTGCCCGTGTCCCACGACAGATAACCGGGGCTATTAATAACTGACACAATTCTGCGAATTATTTATTCAGTCATGTAGTTAATCGGCCAATTACATAGCATAGCATGAAAGCATAGCATGGAACCGTTGGAAATTTTTCGAAACGGATTGCACTTGCTCATCATAGGTTTTTTATGCCCTCAGTGCCCAACGTGGAACCGCACTAATAAAATGTTTTTGTTCGATGTAAACACTAAATCCGGTTCTGGTATGCGGGAGAGAGAGGATACCATGCCATGGTGACCATGCTAAAAGGTTTTAAACTATCGTTCCACGTGCACGTAATTTATTGGTTACAGCGTTCTTTATATTTGCTTTCTATACCGCTGCAGACCCGTCGTTAGACCCCTATCCAGTTTTCAAAACACTACTCCTCCTACAGTTTCCATCCGATAATTTTTTTGACTAGACCATTGAAATCAGCGTAAAGTTCTGAACAAGATGATTGAGGCCGATTTTTGAAATTTGAAGTTCCCCTGGATCGACTACCACGGGCGGTTGCCCTATGCGACAGACATGTTTTTGGGGCTTTCCCCCCTGAACCCCTAAACGTATTTTGACACTAAAAACACAGTTTTGGCTTCTTTTTACTCGTTTTTCACGAACTTTGACTAATATTTAGTTATTTAAATTTTTTCATGATTCAACATCATAAATATCATCATCATCGGCTGGAAGGGATAGTCTCTTAAATCTTCCCACATTGCTTGCGCATAAGCGGCATGTCGCTAGGAGGATCCATGGTATCACTTACAGCGCAATGATCAAGCGTTAAAAGAATTGATAAATCCGTAAAGCCATGCGATTTCCAGTCCGTTTTAATGTGATCGTAAACATCTATTTTTGGTAAAATACCACCTTCCTTTTCAGAGCAGATCGACATGTCGTTAAAAATTCGCGAAAGATCATCACGAATAAAGTTGATAAAACAGGATTTGTCTGTAGTATACTGTATACTGAGCTGACGCTTGCTAGAAAAACAGAAAATATTCCTTCCAGCCGATGATGATGATATTTATGGTGTTGAATCATAAAAGAATTTAAATAACTAAATATTAGTTAAAGTTCGTGAAAAACGAGTAAAAACAAGCCAAAACCGTGTTTTTTAGTGTCAAAATACGTTTGGGGGGTCAGGGGGAAAAGCCCCAAAAACATGTCTGTCGCACCGAGCAACCGCCCGTGGTAGTCGATCCAGGGGAAATTCAAATTTCAAAAATCGGCCTCAATCATCTTGTTCAGAATTTTACGCTGAGTTCAATGATGTATTCAGAAAATTATCGGATGGAAACTGTAGGAGGAGTAGTGTTTTGAAAACTGAATAGGGGTCTAACGACGGGCCTGTACCGCTGCCCGGCCGGACGTTTTCTGTGACCTATGATTTCACGCGGAAATGAAAAAAATTACCAAAATTTTACTTGATAGTGCAAACGTGACCTTTATAAGACACACCACAGGATAACTGGGACGGCCTAAGGTGTGTCGCCGGCAGTTACTGCGAATGTCGCATACTTGCACACATTATATCTTTTCGAAGAAACCGTAGTTGTTCAAAGCATACAGATTTTACTGTAAAGAACCGTCGTGCATGTCTGACATGACTGACAAAAAGTTCCCTTTTCTTGAACGTAGAGGAGGGACTAGAAGCTTCTCCTTCGGCCGAAAAGAAAAATCAAAAAAAAGTAACTTCAATCATCCAGCTCGGCCGAGATGGCCAGTTTTTGTAGCCGCTAGACACTACGGGCTACGCTAGACCCACCTCTTGCCGCTCACATACTTAACCAGTTCTGACACAGTTACAGATTCACTAAAGTGCACGTGCACTCGAAATAACCCAGATATATTGATAAAATTTATCACCAGGTAGAATTTACAGAATTCCATATTGATGACAACTTACCATATTAACGACAACCCCGTCCTTTGTCCAGATCGTTGACGGCTTGGGGATGCCTGTTACCGGACAAAGCAAAAGGAGACTCGCACCCACGGATTTCCTAATTCTGTATTCTTTGAGCGATATCGGGCTGTCTGTCGGGTGCACTAGAATGTATGGCGCTTTTGGTTCTACAAACGGTTGTGGTGATTTTCTGGTGTAGTATGCACTGCATTTCTTTTAAGCATGACTAGCGTCAAGCGTAGCTGATACGACACGTCAAGAGATTCGACAACAAACTGAGCAGCGAAAACAGTGAAAACAGCTGCTAGATCCCACGTACTGGGTAGTAAGCTGTCATATTGGCGTAGCGGATTGCTGTTGTGTGCTACTAATTCCGCCTCCGAAATCACTGTTAAGGTCATGTTGTGCCATACAGTGCCATGTGAGTTTGTTAATCGGCAGCCGAATACGCTTTTGTCATCGGATGACGTCAAATTGTGTACAACCAGTACGAATCCTCCCTGTCTTAGGGTGAAGCGTTTGCCGCCAGGATTCCCGCCAGGAATTATCGGTGCACTATTGCGAAACCATGTAACAGACGTGGAATCTTTACTTCCGTGAATGTTACAGTCAATTTCGGTCTTTGTGTCTCCTTCCACGGCAAATAGCTCCGGTTCATATGGGCTTATCAAAGTAGGTAAACCTGGATTACCTATCCAAGCAAAACCTTTGTATTTGTTCTTTGACAAAAGTAAAAACGCTAAAAGGAACACGTGCGAAGCGTAAAACGCAACAGCGTCAAAATGGCAGCACGCCGGCGTAAATATGGTATCTACGGTATATTTGTATGTAATCGGAAGCTTGAATTTCTCCTTTGGAGATTCCATTAAAAGGCTTTAGTCTGCTAAGTTTGCTCCCACATATATTGTCACATACCAGTTCCCAATGATGGGTGCGCATTCCGGGCAGGACGCTCACTTAATGGTAAGCTTGTTGATGGCAATATACAAACGAACCACAAGATCAGGTGCATCGCAGCAGCAGTATCCATAATTATACGGTGCATTCGTACTATGCCGTGTATGCGCTACTGTATACGTATCTGCCGAAACAAAAATTTAGAAAACTAACAATAATTTTAGAAGAACTAAGAATATTTTAAAAACTCAAAAGCAGAATAAAATACATACTCTATTACGAAGGTCAAAGGGCATTCCGAAGTAAATTTTCCTATTTTGCATCTCCCGGAATAAACGCTTTTAGGCTTGTAGCTCATATTGTCCATATTGTTAGAAGCGCCCATATTGTTAAAGAAGCAATGTAAAAAATAATTTCAGCCGAACCGGGATGAACTGCTCTGGAAAAACCGCTAAAGGTCTTCCGCACTTTGCTTGATGTTTTTCCAGGACTGTTTTTGCTATTTTTCTCAATCTTCCCACTCACTTTTTGAGAAGCGCTGAATGTCGTTAGCGTAGGGATTTCTTTGTCTTACAACACTTACGTCTCAACTGTGTACACAACGAAATAACTCTACCAAGCAGCTTTGTAGCAAAATCGAAACTGTCGACGACTACATTAGGTGCACCGCCGTGCACATAACACAAAGCTACCCAACATCCGGACGACAGGAACTAACTGCAATTTTGCGGAAAACAATTCCTGCTGTCGGGATAATTTATAGCGGAATGCGTATCCTAGGCGCGCTTGACTGGCTACAAATTGCTCGTTTTTTTATGCGATCCCGCATGCAAAGAATCTTGATTTCATAAAAGCGAGAAGGATGAAAAATAAGAATTCTGGTGGTCACATGAAACAAATAATTAGACCTCTGGACGTTTTAAAAGGTTCTATCGAAACAAAAATATTAAGCACAACAGCTGCAGTTAACACTTCAGATTTTTTTATGTTTTTGTTGAAAACATTGTAAAGAGCACTGAAAGGAATGATTTTTACAAATAACCATGAAAAAACGCAAAAGCAGCGCAAGTCATTCTATTTTTATTTTTATCGCGTCGGTTCTCCATCAAACCTTCTGATTTTGGTTTCCCTGGATAGTATATAATGGCTTATCGCCTTATCCCACAAAACAATATCGTCGGTTTTTTATTTCAAATGGCATGGAGGGAAAATAGGTAAACTAAACTTACTTTCGGAATGCCCTTTATAGCACTGTTTATTAGTAATATTCGACTGCCGTGAATACTGGCTGTATATACGATTTCGGAAAAACATGCTGACAGTAAACAACAACAACCATAAAACGTTAGTGTTGTCATGCAACGTTTGTTCTGACGTCCTTACGTGACCTTTAGTATGGTTTGGTAGCACTATTACGCCAATTTGTGATCGGCAGACTGGCAGTACATAATATTAGACCGTACTGCATTAGTGACCGTTCAAATAATATATCAATTGCACAGCGAGAAAACCTGGAAACTCTAGTTACGTACTGGTAGTCTCTGACGTGCTATAATATTATATTGTCCCAACACAATGACCATCGCGACATTACTTAATCCCTTGACCAAATCCAAAAGCGTCTTTACGATCCCCGTGGATGCTAAAACGGGAAATGTACTCTCTCCGCATCCCACCATCTATCGACCCAATGCCCCACCCCTGCAGGCCTTCAAAGCCGTCGAACTGGAGACGGACGATGGTAGTGGCAAACGCGGACTGGGATTCTTAATTTTCAGTACTATTATGGCGCTGTGTGCCGTGGGCTTCTTTGTGGGAGCGGTGGTGTACGTAATGAAGGAGCGGGAACTGGATGCAACACCGAGTCTTCAATTGGAAGGCAAAGCAGGCAATCGCACCATCTACCTCAATTTGCCCAAGACTGCTGATAAGTCCAGCGAAAACTTTAAGATCGTCAAGGAAAATGGTGATGACCTTTCTATTATTTAGGTTGTTTGACGATCGAGTTGGTTGCGCGTTTTGTATTTCTTATTATAGTAGTTTTTTATTTGTTTAAAGTAGGTAAAAGACTAAATGGTGATGGCTTTTTACGATTTAGACTGTTTGACGACAGAGTTAGTGACACTTTTCCAAAATGCACACTTTTTGTTAAAGTGGTTTTTTGTTTAAACTTTAAAGCAGGTAAATGGTAATGACCTCCCTACAACTGAGAGTGTTTGATCAACGAGTTAGTCGCACTTTTTATAAGATTTTTTAGTAAAATGGTTTACGGGTTTTAATAAATAACTGTGGTTTTGCTCATGATTAAATAAATAGATATCGGACAGCTTTGTAAGCTAAAGCTTTTAAAAACAGGGGAATTGGCGGATCCGCAACCGTCTGACGCTTTCGTGATGTCGTTGGATGCGGCCATACGCCCGCCGTTTTTCGAGTATAGGTATTTGATGGATTTAAATGATCAGTGGCTGCTATTGGATATGCCCGTCGTGCCGATCCTACAAGTGGACCGTCCCGCCAGGATTTTTAACGATTTTACGGGGAACTGGACCGTCGTGATGGATATGACGGACGACATTTGTTACGTCATTCCGCTGCATCAGAATATTACGAACCAAAGTGGTGAACGACAGCCGGCCAATGGACAGTGCCGATGTCGCGTCAATGCGCTGACCGGCAAAGGTCAAGCACTTAATCGCTCATGCATGCCGAAAACGTCCAGATTTCACAAAACAATTATTCTTTCGCTAAACTATGCAAGATTTTTAAGTTTATGAAGATTTAATTTGGGTTTCCTTTGAACAGAATATTGTAACATGGACGTGGAGGATGCGCTGGTGGAAAGCTTCTACCGGTTCGGACCGTTCTCGGCCAGTAAATTATTCCATGGCTACGCTGTACAGGGATTCTGTGGTGATCGTGCAACCTACTTCCTGTTATCCACCGACATCCTGGATACATTTGGATCATTACTGACGACGGAGCATGTGCTGCGGTTTGTAGATTTCGCTGCCGGAAACATCCGGGTGATCCAGATCCTGCGCAGCACGTAGGCTAGGTAGAAACAACAGGCTCTCTTTACTGTCCTTTGTGGCGCTTGTCCTGAATGATATCGGTTGCGCATACAGATACCGGCACACGCACATTTACGTTGCCTATTGTCTGCAAAGATTAAGTTGAAGAACGAGAGGGATGTGAACTGTTTCGATCGGCAAAAAACTGCACTGCAGACATCAAACATGTATATTTCGTAACATTATCAACCTCTAAGTTACTTCTTATCTGGATACGAAGAATAACAAATTATTTAAATTATTGATTTAGGAAATCATAAATGACTATGCATTTGAAAATCAAGAACTTTTTCTTTAATGTACATTAGTACATGCAACATTTTTACTATTATAGACCTAACCACGGTATAAAAGAGATGAAATCCTTTACACCGTGGCCTAATTATTAATATTACAAATCAGCTAAAACTGGAATGAAATTAAACCTACGTACTTCTGCATACCGTGCCGCCAAATTTCCTGACAAGTCGTCAGTTATCAAAATGTACAGAGTGCACAAGTAACACAGTTATTACTTACTGGCATCTGCTGAATTTCTTTATCATGCAGAAATACTGATTATTTTGCGTAAATGTTTCACTTAAAAGTGCAGTGTCAGTCGCCAGTTAAGAAGCTTCTTATTTCGATGGACTCGGTCACTCGTGTTAATTGACGACTTGCACAATCAGTTTTTTATCACACTTTAGAGTAGCGTAGAACATAATTATAATTATCGATTCCACACACGATTGCTACAATATGCGGCAGTTTTCGAAGGTAATGAACTAATGGTATATAAGCACTTAAATTTTTCACAAACAAGATAATATTCCATTGGCACCGATACCGTTTAATGAACCGTTTATCTGGCATGCTGTGAGCCTATTGATCATGTGGATTAACATAATTATCGTTCTTAATTTGTCTGATAATATTAAATGCCATATATTGTATGTCCACCACGCGCACAATATCCGCACATGCAGCCCTTCCGCGAAACAATCAATGTGACCTTACGCGCGGTAATCGACAGGAATCACGAATCGCGATTTATAGCAACCCGGGTAATCAGAAGGTATCATTAAAGTAAAGGTTCATCCAATTAATCCAAAATAATACAGGTCGAAAGTTAATAAAAGGGGAATAATATTGGAATTGTGGCGCATGCTGGCTGCTCCCATGGCATTTTGGTCTAATCGGTGTGTCTTGCTTGCACTATATATAATTTTGAAAGTCTCAGGCTGCGACCGGAGATTCGGCCGTGTTCCTGCCTGTACAAATTAAACAAGCTACGCTTTATCATTTATTATAAAACTATATTTTAGACATTTACCCACTTATCGTGGCTTTCTCCTGATTTATATAAGAGCCGGAGAAACCGATAAATTTAACAGAAATTTCTGTACAGAGTACTGAGCCTATGGCGTCTCTAACTACTGTATTAAAATATATTGGGATCGTGAACGGGCATTTCGCCTGCTTTCCTTTAGGTTACCCAATTAAGGTGTAAGTCCTTAAGGTATAAAAAAATTGGGCACAATCAAATGAACGAAATTAAACCGTTCTTGTGATAGTTCTAGTAAATTTTATAGAGTACTGGTTTTCGCTACAACTGTGTATACGTGCTGTACTTTTGAGTTTTGAGCGGCCTGCATTTGCGGGAAGTTTAATACCGCAAAGTTCTAATAACCAACAAATATTTAATGTACGAAATAAAAAGACAGCTTATTTCTATTTAAATTGTAAAAGAGTATACATTGTACGAAAATACTGTAAATACATGTACATAAAATGAAAAATCAGAGTTTAACTCAGCCTATCTAATTAACATTTACAATACGTAAGCAACTTCCGGCAGTAGCCAGCAGTGCTTTGTGCGTTGTGATTGGTCAGTATTCTACGGCGTGATATGGGCGTCATAGATTCCAATGCAAACGTGTTTAATCCTGCAAGCCACCGGTACGCCCACATTTTGGTTGTAGTCACCATATGACGGTCGGTCTTTCTGTCGATCGCTACGCAACAGCGAACTAGACCATTCCAAACACCGTGAAGCCGTAAGGATGGTGAATGCTTGCGATGGCGCAAGTGAAAAAAATCCTGTAAAACTGTCGCGTGGTTGGTCCGCGGTACGGCGTCGGCTGCGTTCGAGTCGGACGGTCTGGCCCCGCCTCCGCTTTTTCCTGCCTGATTCAGCGTGATTCGGCGCTGAGCCAAAGGAGACGGACTGCAATTTCTGTTTGCTGAAATTAAATTATTTTTTTCACAAAATTTTAATCCAGCGGGATGGAACGCGTGTTTTTCTGTTTCTAAAAAAGGGAGCTTGCCAGAAACGTCTTTAACCCTGATTCGTTTTACAACTCAAAACACTCTTTTTACATTTGTCTTTCCTAACAGATTTTGATTTCATTGTGACGGTGTACAGCTCAGGCTTCACTCAGGCTGCTTTGTGATAAACTGCAAAAAATTCCATAAAAAATGCCCGTTTTTGCGCTGGATTTTGCCCGCTGTGTCTGGAGATAGCATCACGCTGCCATTGTGGATTAACTGCCTGATGCCAGGTAATGCAGAATTTTATATTTTATTGTGTAATCGTGGAGCCCGTTGAGTTTGATGTGGGCCAGCGTCTGATCAGGAAAAAGGCGTCCTTGAAACGGATTTTCTGTGGCCTTTATCGAAAGTCCCTTTCATAGGGTACTTAACTGCACTGGCTTCACTAGCTATGGATTAAAGTATTATTTTGTGTTGTTGTTTTTGTAAACTATCTACGAGAAATTGGGTTGTTGAGTAGAAGACGAAAAGAACTTGTGAGGAACCCAGTTGAGTAATTTTCGGTTATTTTCCAGTTGAATTTATCGATTATTTTTATAATTTTTGTAATTACTTCCTATTTTTTTGTAGAAAAAATTTTATAATAAATTTGGATTTATAAAGAATATTTTGTAAATGTTTTGAATGCAGGTTGAGGCGTTTTGGGTGGATTGTTGAAGTGGGGCAATTATTTTAAACAGTCTGTGATGAGTTCTCAACTTCTCAGTGGTGCATCGATTAATGCTGCGTTGGGTTACGAGTCTTACGACACGATTTAATGGTCTCGTACACCGTAGTTATTTATTAATGTTATCGTGTAGAAACGCAGTTAATAAACGAACGCAGAGCCAAGAGGGCATGATTATTAATTGATATCTAAAGTTTAAGCTTAGTCAGCTGTCGCTGTTAAATTGCAGATTATATTTATGGTAACCAGTAATGGTATTTTTTACAGCAATTTTCTAAACAATTTGGCACTGATTTTGTTGTGGAAATGAGTGATACTTTAGTTGCTCGTGGTAAATCAGCTATGTCTGCTAGAAAGCGGGTATATAATAAAATTTTATTATTATTACCTAATCAATATCTTAAATTCTTAATTAGAAAAATATCTGAAAATCGTTTCGGATCTTGTTTCGAAATTGGACATTCGAGGATTATGAAATTATCGACAATATTGACGTAGGGAAAAATGTGGCAGTTTAAATTATTTTAGTTTTCGATGAATAATTAATTATTTAGCTACATTTTCTAGGATCTTGTATTGGAAATTGTGTCTCCATGGTTGTCGTAGAGGTGCAGTCATAAAATGATTATCTGCATTAGCATCGCTATGAATTCATCAGTGACATCATTTCTCTTTGTTGAAGCTAAAGGCCCTTCGAAGGTTACCTGAGCAGACGGAAGAGACTTCAAGAGAGTGAATATGAATAGGTGCAAATATGCTGCTCATCGTGAATGATACGATCGTCCAGTTGCTCGCTGTTTTGACGTCTGTTGGTCCTGTCCGATTTTTATCGGATTTATTTACGTGTAAACTGTACATGCTGGTCGAATAGTTCGCGGAATTATTCCTGCCTGGGCTGATTTTAAATGCATGCATTTTTGATTAAAATTAACAAGTCCTTTAAAAAATGTTCTTTTTATGTATTCGAGCTTGTATTGCGCTCATGATTTGTAGCGATTTACATTTTAATTTCTTGAGCCTAAAGATTAACTCTGTTTGTAACTTTGTATTATAATACTATTATTTTAAGGATTCTGATTTCATTTTTATAGTGTTACGCAATGTTTATTCTAGCAGTTTATGACTTTATGTTACAATGAAATTATATCGTACATAGGGTATGCATGCAGAGTGCATATGTATTTAAATAATTAATCGGATTCGGGAGTGACTCTCGGTCTCCTTTTCCGCCCGAACGTGATGCAATTTTTGAGAAAATTTTTTTTCTGTTTTTTCTGCGTTTTAAAAAGGCGCATGCGGAAGTCATCCGCGGAGGCCGATTCTCACTTTGTACGGCTTAAAGTGCGATGCCGGTCAGATTGGGAGAGCGTTTTTTTCTTTGTTTTGGTCGTGGTGTTGGGCTGAAGGGCAATTGAAATTCATTTCCGGTTGGCTCCTTGTTGCGGGTTAATCCGGGTAGAGTGCGCGCGTTGAGCAGGTGGAAGCGTGTTACTGCCGGGTAATGTACACTTTGATCGTTGGCAGTCAGCAGCGACGTAAGAGACCTGCTGTTGTTGAGGCTCGATAGCGCGTTGTGTGCGGGGCCTTGTGGGCCAACAGCGGCACCACGTTGACTGGATGATTGCACTGTCAAGATCGATCGATTTTTTGTCTTTCCTACGCAGCGCCCACAGACGCGGGTGAGGGTCTTCTGTTTTCTTTAAAGATCTCAACAAAGGATTTACTGGGAACGGGATGGGGATGGATTTGCTGGGTTGAAAACAGATTTGGCAGTATTATGCTGCAAGATTTTCTTGAAATGGAATGGGATTGGTCTTTAACAGATTTTTTAATTTCCATTTTATTATTAATAAGAAAATGAAACTATAACCGGAAGTAAAGCATGAACAATTCAGCGAATACAGAAATTATTTTAAATTTATTTCTACAAGCTTTTGACTTTTTTATTATTCCTTCTGCCGTTTTTGCGACAATTTCTGAGGTGTGTTACGTAAACTGTAAAATTTATTACAATTTTTATGTGCTGGATTATGCAACTTGAGTGCCGGTCATAAGCTGATCATTTTAATTGCAGTGTTTTGTTTTTGTGGAAGGTTTTTCAAAGTCAATCTTGCTGTTTATTAGTCCCTGATAATAATTTTACATTTCTAGATACAGGTAAACGCGCACGCGTCTAAAGTTTCCTTCTTTTTATTCAGTGTTGTATTGGGTGATACTGGAAAATTATAACGGAAATGGGCATACGGTATCGAATTTCTAACGCATGTTAATGCAAAATCGTCCCATTTAAGATTACCCCGGGAAATTAATTGCATGCGTGCATTGTCAGCCCTATCAGGTTACCAGTGTTGCTGGCTTGGCATTCGCGAGAGTACCCGCACTGGTATTTAGCCGGAAGATTAATTTTCCACGTATTTGATAAGTCGGTTTTTTCTTTCTCTATCGGTGAAGCGAGCCAGCCGGTTCTTCGTATCAGTTGTTTGATAGGAATATATGTGTGTATTGATTCTAGCCGGTGTGTTTAAGCCATATAATAATTATCAGCATAATGGATTTTTGATTTTCTTCGTGTACGTACGGCGTATGTGTTGTGTGTGTGTCGGGTTTGCGGCGGTGCAGTCCGCCGCTTCCTCGCTCGACTGCGGGCGTGTGTAAACATTTCAGCACAGGCACCCTGCTGGCTGTTTGTTGATGGATGTGTCGAGATATTTTCGAGATTTTGTCTGTTTTTCGCTTTTCGGTGCAAAACAGTTATTCCAGAGCGTATTTGCCAGTATGTACACTTTCTTGCCATATTATATTTTTAATGAGTTTGCGGATTATATATTTCTGCTGGCAGAATTTGTTTCCGGTAAAGGATAAGGCTGTATAATTTTTTAACTGTTTAAAATTTTATCTTGTCGATTTTGTTAAGTTTTTTAAATTGTGAAAGAGTTTATACTTCGGTTTCCTAGCGGTGCTGTTTAGGATTTAATGGAGAGATTAACTAAACACCGCCTGGATCAATGCATTCGTATATTTTATGCAAAGTAACATTGTATGCACTTGGGAATTGAAGGATTTAAATTTTTTATGAGTTGTGCACATATTGATTTATGTTTGACGGACACGTTGCGCTTGGCTATCGATTATGTAAAGCGTGAAGAAATAGAGCTACGTACAGTATGCGATCTTAAAAAGAGTGGGAGATTTAAAATATGGATTTTTCGAGGAATAACTTCCTTTCAAGCAGCTCAACTGAATTATTTACCAGATTTTCATAATTACGGGAAACCGGCTTACAGTAGCTGACTGTGATTTAAGTTTATTCATGTTTTACAGTTTTTACAACCAAACCGTAAAATGGACTACTTAGTATTTTTAAATAAAAGCAAAAAATAAGATGTGATAAATAAGCAAAAAATAAATGCTCGAGAGTAAAATAAGAATATGTGATAAGTTTCTGGGTTTTCGCTAATTTTTGTGAACGTGCCAATTGCGGTTGAGGTGCGCCTAGTTGAGACTCAAAATATTGCAGAATGCTGTATTAAATTTTGCGTGTTAATATGATTAACAGACTGATTTTTTTTTCAGGGTGCGGAGTGCGATGGCCTGATCCCGACTTATTTATTTCCCAGTAAACCTCCGCATTATTTGCCTGTTACCCGGTTCCTAATAGGCCTCATACCCGTTATTTATTAATCCTCCTTGTGTTTCGGTTGTGATATATCCGGGGAAATTGTGATATCGTTGTGTGTGTTGCGGGATCAGCCGGGGTATTTATCACACAGCGCCTCCGTTTTCCCCCGTAATCCGCGCATTTCCCAACACACACATCACGGACTAGTGCGTGGTGCGACAGGTTATGGTCCGGAAAGGATCGGAGACGGAGCGCGAGGGCGTGGATGGTGGTGAGAATAGTAAAGCAGCAGCCAAAGCAGGGAACGTGGCCAAAAACAAATCCTCCACCAGCGCCGCCATGAGTGCCCCCCGCGGGGGTACGGCGGCCCCGGGCGGGACGGCGGCGGCCGCCAATCAGGCGGGCGGGGCGGCCTCCACGGCCGTCATGATGGTCGGGCCCAATTTCCGGGTGGGCAAGAAGATTGGATCGGGTAATTTTGGGGAGCTGCGGCTGGGGAAGAATCTGTACAATAACGAGCACGTGGCCATCAAGCTGGAGCCCATGAAGACCAAGGCGCCGCAGCTGCATCTGGAGTATCGCTTCTATAAATTACTCGGATCTCAAGGTAAGTATTTGGTTTGCTGTACGTTGATTTATTTTCAAAGTTTCGGATTTTTTGGATTTATTTTTTTGAATGTGTTTTCGAATGCAATTTTTTGGTGGAGATAATTGTTCCAGTGGTTTTAAAACATCTGTTTTTAAATGTTTTTGTTGTATTAATCCGGTTTCGATTTTTATTACGTATTTTTACCTGTACGTATTTATGTAGCATTGCAAATGTTGTTTGCAGGTAAATAACTTAAATTAATTTTTTTCGCCTGGAAAACCCACCCAAGCTATTATTTAAGAAGCGTGCCAGTTTTAGAGAAATTTTCAAGAGTTTCATTACAACTAAAATTTATTTTGTTTAGAGGATTCAGATTATTGGGTTCGGTATTACCAGAAACGTTTACACTAGTGCTTAATTTTTACAAGATTTTCTGGTAGAAGCACCATAAAAGTAATGATTAAGTAGTCGCTAATGCAAGCAGGAAACGACATACATGGTGTTTTTTACATTTGTTCTGTTGTTCCAATCGGATGTTGTTTGAAGAAGGGGAGGATGTTAAGACGAATCCGGCGGTCATGTGGGACACAGCCGAGTGGCTATCCCGTTATTTACGGCTTGTGTGTCGCCGGCTAATGATCAGCCGCAGTTGGCCGCAGGTGGTACTTTGTCAGCCGGCACTGTTGCCGCCTAATCACGGGGATGTGTATGCGGTTCTCTTGGGGGATTATTTCCGCTGGGTGCGGCTCTGTGTGGTTTTACTTTTCGCCGGTTGCGGGAAGATTAGGCTTGGTTTTTCTGGGCAGGGTTGAATGTGCCGCGCTGAATTTGGGTGGGTTAAAAATTTCATTTAGGGAAACTGGAGAAGTGATACTCATAATGAAGGTAATTTTCTGGAGCGTCGAAAAAGTTTTGTACGTTTGGTCTAAAATAATAAACTAAAAGGAAATACTGAATTAAAAGAAGTCAACTGTAAACCTAATTAAACTGTCTTGGCAGGATTGAAGGTTCAAATTAGTGATACGACGAAGGCCCTGCTGGATCAGTTCGAAAAAAAACGAGAAGTCCGCATATGTAAAATTAATTTTATTATTTTGTCTGTTGTTGCAAAATAATTTTGGCTAACAATAAGTAATTCTTGTAATTATTTTTCGAATTTTGTATTTAGCGGCTTAACACGTTGTCTGCCTTTCGATATCCACTGCTGCTTTATTCTTGAAAAATGCGAGATTGCAGTAAAAATTCCTGACGGTGTAAGATTGGCTGTAATTGGTGAACAAATCGACATTTTGCGTGGTTGGGTTATTTTGATGTATGAAAATGTCGTTATGAAATATTTCTACCATCTCCATAAATAGATATTGACCGTAGCCCCCCTTAATGGGAAATATTTCTGGCTGTGGATCGGTGACTGATGGCTGGTGCAGACTGGCGTGAAGGAATCGCATGGAAAATGAGCTTGTTCCATCTACGCAATAGTCGGCGGAACCCATGCGCATGGTGTGCGTCGACTGCGCTGTTATTTAATTTGGGGGAATTTGTAGAGCAAATATGTGTGATGGATTGGTAGCGACGTGTGACTAAAAATGCCAGTAAATAATTTGTATAGCGTAATGAAATTTGGAAAAGGCATTTGCCAGCAACGGATTTATGACGCTCGTCCATTGAGGGATTTTTTCGGTTAAAAGAGTATTTTAGGCTCTGGGCGGATCGTATCGATTGGGAAAGAAAATGTCGAACGAAGAAAAGCTGTAAACAATCGAGAAAGGGAAAGGTTTTGCAATTGATCGCACCATACTTGTGAAAATAGTGCTAATTTTAGCGGCCATTGAAGCGGATTTAAAATGTTTATGAAAAATATAGCTCTTCGTTGTAAATAAAAAATATCGTTTGAATCTGAACATTTGCAGCAGACAAAAAGGATTAGTTCTGACAGAATTTTGAAATTTAGTTGATTAGTTAATTTTATTTAATATAGTTGAAAATAAATTATGTTTAAAAAATTAAAGTGTATTGAGTTTTATGGAAAATATTGTCCATTGTTTACTGTACTGTAAGTCTAAAACAGTTTTTTTAAATTTTGAAAATGCGTAGCAGGCAAAAAGAATCAGTTCTGGAATAGATTTTTAAAAAAAAACAAATTAATTATAGAATTTTCGTTGGATGTTGTTCAGAATAAATTGCACTTTGAGAAAATTTCGTTTAATATTCGTACTGATTTGTATTTTGCAGAGGGCATACCGAAAGTCTACTACTTTGGCCCGTGCGGCAAGTACAATGCCCTGGTGATGGAGCTGTTGGGTCCGTCGTTGGAGGACCTGTTCGACCTGTGTGATCGGAAATTCTCCCTGAAGACGGTCCTGATGCTGGCCGTCCAGCTGCTGTCGCGGATGGAGTACATTCACGGCAAGCATCTCATCTACCGCGACGTCAAGCCGGAGAACTTCCTCATTGGCCGGCAGTCCAACAAGAAGCACACCAGTATCCACGTGGTGGACTTCGGTCTGGCCAAGGAATACATTGATCCCGATACGCAGCGCCATATTCCCTACCGGGAGCACAAATCCCTCACCGGCACGGCACGCTACATGAGCATTAATACCCACATGGGCAAAGGTGGGTGGGTGGAAAGTGGCTGACAGTTGACTTCCGGTTTGATCTGAAAACGCTTTTTCATCCGCCTTTTTTTCTTCGTTTTATGAGTATTGTATTTCGAATATATTCCGTTGATCGTTGTAAAATGAGCGTTTGTGTTACAGTAATACTGTACTACTGCGGTGGCTGATCGGTTGCGTTTAATGTGTGCTAAATTTTCAAGTATGAGAATTTTTTAACCTTTTCGTGACATTTTGTAATAATTTCTCATTTTCAGAAATCTTTTGTTGTGACAATTTTCATACGTTTTTATTATTATTTGTATTCGTTTTTCGAATAATTCAGTTTCGTGATAGATGATCTGTGGCTTAAAACGAGAATCGTGAAGCATTTTATGTGTAGTTTCATAGATGCTCAGTCATCGTTTTATCTTTTTTATAAAACGAATATTTTAGTTTTGATTTTAAACGAATAGGTTGATAATTTGTGTTAATCAGTTTCTCGGATCTGTTGAAAATTTTTTGGAGCTTGTTTCACGAAGGAGCGTTTGTTTGCTGAAATGATACTTGTAAATTTGCTAGATGAGGAGTCGAGCATTGATTTTAATGCATTTCTCCGTTTTCGGTAGGAAAAAAGCTTTCACGCGAGGTTTTTTGCAATTTTCTTTATTGCATTATAGTTCGGTCGAGTTCAAATATTTACTTAAATGAGCCCTCGAAAATCACTGAATGAAACCCATTGAGAAGGTGGTATTTTTTGAACATTGGGAGCAATCATTGATAACAAAGAGGATTGTTCAGTGTCCTCTTGAATCGCCATTGAGTTGGAGCAGGGCCCAGTACATGTTCAGCGGATGGAATATTACACTCTGGTTGGTAGATTTCCGGGCCAAGTGTCGCGGCTTCCGATGCGACCGGGCACTTGTCTGTGCCAGTTTTGCTGCCTTTCCGCGAAGCTGAAGAATGCAATCGATGTACAAGACATGTCTGGCTGACGTCAGCTGATTTTTACGCTGGCTTCTCAAGGTCAAAAAGCGCGTGTTCTTGCACTTGCATGCTATTGTTCGAAGGAAACGATTTTTATTAGTTTTACTGGCTGAGAGTGGCTCAAAGTCTGAAGTCGTCATTATTTTTGCTATATTTACAATCGGTTAATTCTCTCGCTTTCCAGTTAAACTTTCTTGCTGGCGAGATTTTTTTCTAATGAGATTTTTTGCACATTAATTAATCTTACAATATTAAAATTTGATTTAGTTTAATGTACAATTTCATTTTCGTTAAATAAGTTTATTTCCCATTAATCCAGCTGAATGTTTTTGCTGGCAAGATTTTTTGTCCATTAACTACGAGTATTTTTGCAATATCTAAAAAATAATTTCGTTGAGTAATTTTTTTCCTTTTTGTATTTTTTTGCAAGCGAGCTAAAGTATGTATATTTTATTTTTAAACGGATATAGAACTGTAATAATTTAAATATTTGTGTAAAATGATATGTGAAAAATAATCGGCTTACGATTTGATTCATTTGATTGGTCTTATAAAACACCAGCCAGCTCCTGCGATAGCGTTTGATTGTTTTCGTGGAAGAGCCTGCTGTGCGTGCTTACCCTTATTATCCGTAGTGGATGGTTTAAATTGAATTTGTGCCCATCGGCAGCCGAAACATTATTTACGACTGTGGAGTTGGCTGGCGTAATGTGCTTAATTGCTGCCTGCAGTGCCATGCTGAGGCGACGGGAGACGCACACAAATACGGGCCGGGAAGAAAAAAGCATGGGTTTCAGAGACGCAGATATAAATACGGGTTGCTAATAGATTTTTCCGGTTACTGTTGACTCTGTACGTACTGTAATGACTAGTCTGATTTATCATCATGCATCGCTATTAAAAGAAAATTTTGTGCTGGATATATTCCAGTTTTTTGTTCTGCGAAGATGAAAAGTTGTGGATATGTTAGTTAGCGATTTTCAGAACTGCTTCATTCGAGAATTATATATTTATTATTTTTTGTATGATTTTAAAAATAAGAAGAATTTTTGATTTTGTGTGCGAAAATTTTGGTGGTGCCTTTTTTAATTTTTTATATATTTTTATTGTATTCTAATAATAAATGTCATCGGTATGCGTAATCAGAGGGAGAAACCATGGAAGGTTTTTAACGATAACATTGCAGTGTATTTTTACAGCTGTAGTTTTTCATATGATTACGATGACGTTGCGTGATCGGCGCGGTGTGCGCATTCGGGTTCTTGTTGTTGGCGTCAATATTTCGACGTAATCCGACGAAATAAAAAAGCCACTGTTGGCGGGCATCCAAGCCGAACAATTTGCGCTATGATTTGTGAGTGGTTCGTAAAAGAGTGGTCTTTTGACAAGAGTGTGTGTGCCGCAGCCATGGCGTGCGGTGTTTGGCTGGCAGCTTTTTCGAAAAGCATACGAAGTGAATGAAACGCATGGTAAAAACGCGTTTTCCTATTGACGTCTGCGGCAATAATGACATGCGTGTCTGTCGTTGTTTGCATGTGATGCTGACACCGTATCGCCTAATAAAAATTTCTTGTGTTTACAACTTTTCCGGTAAAATATAAAACCTTTCTCTGATTGGGGATAGAACATCTAATTTATTTTATAGCAAAAAATTTATTTCTTTTGTATTCAGTAATCGAATGCATTGATTGCATTATCAGTTTTTTTGTCGTAGGCACATGACTGGCTGTAGTAGTTGCGACTTCTGTATCCGCTGTACTACGATTTCTCACGTCAGTTAATACCGTTAATATACTTTTAATTGGTTTGTATAGAATGGGTTAACTGTTAGTCATTTACAACGGTTTGCAAACTCAACCAGCTGTGCAGTGCGGTGTTACAGTAAATAACGTTACAATAAATAAAATTTACCATTAACTATCTTTATAATGTACCTCGTAGATGAGCACTAATTATTACGAACTTGTGGTAATTTAATCAGTCAACCATGTCAACAAGAATGACTGCAGCGCTTTTAATAACTTCGTTATGAATTAATAGGTTGATAATGCTGAGTCAGGTTGTAATTTTTAAAAGAAGAAATTATACGAGTGCAGACAAAATGACTATAAGGATTAAGAATCATTTACGTGCGTAAGATCCAGTGTTGTACTGTGGTAATTAATTTGAGATCAAATACTATAATTATTCAGACCAATTTTTTTATTCCAGCATTCAGTTTACATGTTGCGTACTTTAAAATTGAATGCCTTGGTTGGTAAAACTTTTGATTTTAGTAGTCTGTGTTATCTTTAATACATATTGTACATTCTGCGCAGTATTTGTTTCTCATTTAAATTAATATGGACTACGTAATCACTAATCATAGCTGCCAAATCAAAAAGATTTGCAAATTATATTTTTATTAATTTAAGTTAAGTAAAGGTAGAAGTATACGCACTTCATGTTCCTGTTACTAGTTCTAATACAAGAATGTTGTTAATGTTGTTGCAGAGCAATCGCGGCGTGATGATTTGGAGGCCCTCGGGCACATGTTCATGTACTTCCTCCGCGGCTCCCTCCCGTGGCAGGGCCTCAAGGCCGACACCCTGAAGGAGCGCTACCAGAAGATCGGCGACACCAAACGTGCCACCCCCGTGGAATCCCTGTGCGACGGCTACCCGGAGGAGTTCGCCATCTACCTCCGTTACGCGCGCCGTCTGGACTTCTTCGAAACCCCCGACTACGACTACCTGCGCCGGCTCTTCCTGGATCTCTACCACCGGATGGGCTACAAGGACGACCTGGAGTTCGACTGGAATGCCAAACAACAAGCCGCCGCCCAGCAGCAGGCCGAAGCGGCCAGCCGCACATCCGGCGGCACCCAGAAAAACAGCCAACCCGCCGGATTAAAAGGCTCTACCTGGCAGCTGGAGAACCAGAACGCCACGGCCAAACAGAGCACACAGACCCTCGGCCCGGCCGGGCAGACGCTGCCCACCCCCGGCGGCAGTGTGCAGGTGATGAACTCGACGGACGGGGCGCTGGTGGGCGGGGACGATCCCACCGGGGGCCAGAGTAACACGCCCATCGCCCGCGGCGGCGGCGTGGAGACGGATGTCAGTGATCACGAGGTGAAGTGCTGCTGTTTCAAGCGGCGGAAGAAGCGCACCAAGAAGCTGGGGAGGCCGGGCACGGGCGGCGGCGGGAACGGCGCGGCCGGCGTCCAGGCGGGTGGGGCCAAGTGAGGATTGTTAGAGAAGGCGCGGTGGTGGGCGGGTGTTTTGGGATTTGCCTGGGGGAACACAGTGGATGAGGATTGCCTGGAAAAATGCTGGGTTTTTTCTGGATATTCTGTGCTGCTACCGTTGATATGGGTGGTGTTAATGTTTTTCTTTTTCCGGCGGGAGATTTTTTGGTGTGGATTAAGATGAGAATGGGAGATGATGCTTTTTGTTGGTTTTCTTCTGCTTGATCGCGGGCCGGTTTACACTCGTTTTCGTTTTTTGGTTGGTGTGCCCCCGGGGGCTCCTTCGGGGTGGTGTGTAGCTGGAAAAGGAAGGGAGGAGCCCCCCGGTTTTGATGCGAGGATGTGCAGGATGTTTTCAGACACGTGGTTGGTGAGACATTATTTTGAATGTGTGGCACGTTATTTGTTCTGCCGGGACGATTAAAGGCGTTGCATTCCATTGGCATTGTGGCGTTCGGATGATTGTCGCTTTTAATTATTTATACACACTGGGCGATACGCATTGAATAATGCAACGGAAAAATAGTAACACAGTCGAGGAAGAAATCAGCGGAATTATTTCCGGAAAAATCCAGCCACGATTTAAAAATAGTGTTCTACAAGACAAACCCGTGCAGCGCCAAAAATAAAGTGCATTTGGTAAAACTGAATGCAAGCGGTGAAACGCTTCCGTGGCGAAAGTATCGTTTTTTTTGTGCGTTCGATGGGATTGTAAATTACCGTAAAATCACGAGAGCAGCCGCAACTATTCCGCCATCACACTTTCAATAAAATTATGCGCATGAATAAACGTTTTCGTAATTTCGAAAAGCACAATATTACATATCGAAAAACGTCAAAAAACTTCATAAAATACACGTATAACGAGCAAAAATATCACAAATTGTCCGAAAAAAAAACACCAGCAGCAGATAAAAAAACTGAAACGCCGGAAACGTCCACAACCCTTCTTTCCGTCAACGGGACACGAGCCGCAGCGTATGTTCTGCAAGAGTAATCGCATTTAGAACAGTTTGTGCAGCGTCAATTTTACTTAATACAGATGCATGCTTATAATCTACACGGCTAGAATATTCCATAAATTTGAAAGAAAACAGAACCAGAGCATCTTTCGATAATCCGTACAGTAATTATTGAATGCCAAATAAACAAGTAATTGATATTGCATTTCTCCAGACTGAGAATGTTCAATATAAACAAGAATATATTGAATACAATGCTGAAGCATAATTTATTTTTAATAATATATTAATTTTTTACTTATTAATAAAATGAAGATTACATTAAAATACTGACTAAATACCTGCGTTGCGTTCGAGAGTAATCAAGTTACCAAAATCTAAGTTAGTTTTCCAAACAGGGAATGTTTACACCAAGTAATAACAAAGTACTTAAAAATTATCATTCATTATAAACGTAATAATTACTAATTAACAAGATGGGAAAATCCAGATTCCAGGTACAGTAAATACGGATTAAATACCTGAGTTTTTAAGGGATATCGGGAGCAGTTTATCGACGCCACGGGGCAATGGGCGCCCAGGTTAAATGAGCCTGCGCCAAGAATTCTTCTTTGTCTTCCGGTCGCAGCTCGGGCGTGACAAACCCATCCGGCGCCTCCTCCTGCCCCTCGTTGGACCCGGGCACACTGCCGCCAGCCGCGGAGGTGCGGCCGTCCTTGGCGGTCCCTTCGAGCGACAGTTCATCCCCCGTAGCCACCTTCCGCTCCCCACTGGGACGTCGCTGGCCATCGGGGTGTATCTGCAGGCTGAGTTCGGGGTTGAGCTTGCACACGGCGGCGAATTTCATACTCTTCCCCTTGGTCTTCCCGTTCTCGGTCCACTCAACGACGACACACTGCTTCGCATGATCGATCTGGCTGACCGAGGCTTGTTGGACCTGGCCATTACCGCGCTGGATTTTGATACGTTTGCGCTGACACAGACGTGGATCAATGACGGCGGAGGGTTGGCTGGCATCGTCGAGAGGATTCGTATACCTCGTGGCACTTGGTCCACAATATAAATTGTGCAGAATATCACTTCGATGACTTGAAATCTAGAAACACCAGATCAATGTGCGGCGCGATCGCAGAGCAAACTTTAATGAGATCCGCACGAAAGAACGGTATCAAAAGGCAAAAACTCAAGCGACAACTCGATTTAAAAATGATTCAACTTCCGCGGTTCCGAAAAATGTGCACACTGTATGTACAGTTGTACACTCATACTACGCTCATGGTGAGCTGGTCAGCACAGTTACACCAGCATGGTGAACCGCAGGTCCGCAGTAGACAGTAGTAGTAGGTGTACGTACGGATGCATTTCTACAGAAGTGGGCAACGGCTAGCTAACCGGCCCGTATGATCGGTGTGAAAAACACTGTGTTTCGGGTTAAAGGAGGAGTCAGCCATCCGTGCTCGGCTTTAAATACTTAACATAACTCTTTATACTTACAAGTTACAAGTATTATTATTGTTATTTTGTGGTAACACACTAGCCGGAAGTACCGTAATTAGTCATCGATAAGAGAACTAAAGGGGAAACAAAGGAGCGAATTTGATCAAACCGGCACTCCGAAATTTTTGTAATAAATTACTACCATTAAAACATGAGATAACACAAAAGTTTTTCTCAATTTATAAAAAATGGCATTCAGAAACCGGCGCACATGCTTTATTACGCACTTACTGAGAGATACCTAAAATTAGAGACTGTGTCCAAAATATCGTGAACGATGGGTTAGTTTGTAGTTTCTGGTTGAACGCGCTTATCTGTAAACGACACAGCTTCCACGAATACGAAATGAGATTTTTCTATTCAGCCGTTTTGCTGTGACCTTTGGCTATTGTCCATGCCGGTATCTAACGAATAACAATCACTACCTAGGTCACATTATTCTCTTTCGGGATTACGCGCAAGATTTCACGACAATAAAATAATGTTATTAATTATCAATGCAAACGAATACGAAAGATTACGCACTGTATAAGTGCCCCTAGTGCCATAGTACTACACGGTACTTCCGTATTTGTTACAAAATTGTGTACAATACATAACCAGAGCCTCCGGCAATAAAGTATGTAATGTACTTTCCGTGATCTCGAACGTCCCAGATGAAACTTATCCGTTTATCGTGTTCCGACGAAGCCAGAATTAATAATTTGTATACTTTTGCTGGGCGAACGGTCTGCGGGCATAATATGATCCGGTTGCTTACGATATAAAGAATTAAAGCGGAAATTGAAACGTTTAACCTTATCGTTAGTAATTGTCGCCGTGATATTATGAGCTGAGATCTGGATACTTGTCGGACTGTCGGTTTAGGCAACTATCAGAAAAGACAGAAACCATATCGCTGCTACCGAGATAACATTAATCCAATGGGAACTAATTAACCCAATTTAACAAATTATTGTATATCGTGAAACCGGCACTGATAAGTGATGATAGTTTTTGAATTTACTGTATTTGTAAGTTTATAACAGGCAACTAAATTTCTGTGCACTCATATAAAACGGGGTATTCAGTTTTTACAATATTAACAGGACAAAGCTTTTAATTGCATTTCAAAGTAGTTTTTATTAGTGTTTTTAGCTGTCTTATTAAATCAGCTTATACCGTTTCATTCCCGAACATAAAATTCCGAAAATGTATGTAATGCAACGGAAACCGCAGTCGCAACATTCCGCTGCAAATGGATCACCCATCATAATCAACGCCGGTGTGGCCGTTTTCGCGGAAGGTCTAGCCAATCCAACCGCTCGCCCGCCATCCAACAGCCCCTGCCATCGTTTCCAGCAAAACCAACCGTGCGCATCCCGTCCCAGTCATCCGTGTGTGTATCAGCATCGGTGCATGCTGTGCAGTGGTAATCACAGCGCTCTGGAGTGCCGGCTGCGACGTCCCGCTGCGGTTCCCTCAAAACCAACTCTTCGTCATCAAACTGCAGGCAACAAAACGTCTGGTACGAGAAGAATGTGGATTCTCATTAACATGAAATGGAAAATACAGAAAACTGTAAAGAAAATACCGTCGGAAATAGGCTCGTAACACCGTGCCGGTATATACGTATACGTAGTATAAAATTCGTGCACAATCTGCACATTTCATGGCGACCTTTACTCCGCGCACTCTCAGACACTTGTGCGCATTTTCTTATGAATTCAAAAGCCACGTAATTTGTAAAATTTGGCATGAAAATCGCTTGTGCGCGCAGCATTATGTGGGAAGTAATGTAATTTGGTTCCAAAATTTTGAACGCAAACAGAGATATCAAATGTCACATTATGGACCGCGATCTCCTTCACATGTCGCACGTTAACCCACATAATTACAAAGAGTGTTCTTGCGTCAAACCACGATTGTGGCATTCTCAAAAAGTTTTCCACAACGGGAACTGCAAAAATTATGTACCGGCACATTTCTTTTCCCTAACTGAGTTTTTGTTTCCACATTTAAATACTGTACTGTACAGTTTTGAGGAAAAAAAATTCAGTTGTACAATGGCTGTACAGTCTGTACAGCCATTTAACTCTCACATAAGACAGGCATCCTTGCACAGGTCATGGAGGTCCGCATCCACACCAACATGTACACTGCTCCAACCCGAATCCAAGTAATACACATCACAGCACACACAGTACGGCCACGGCGCGGAAAGCCAATGTAAACAACAGTTCTGGATACCGGCAAACGAAGTCCACAACAAAACCCCATCACGGAGGTCACGGTAGTACTAACCAGTCTGCAAGACCGCCGCCTGCAACCGGTCGGGTGTCCTTCGGCTCGAGTTCCAAAACAACTACAGGGAACAGGAATGCCCCACCTGCACGCAATCGAAAATAACCGGTTCCCGGTTGTTGTATTTCCGGTTCTTGGATGTGGATAAACTGTCGAGCAGATTTAAAAATTCTGGCGCACGTCCGACATGGCTAATGAGTAAAGAGATAATAAATATGTAGTACATGGCCAAATAACTAGCTCGTGTAACTATAAGTCTTATCGATTACCAGTTTTTTTTTCGTGTTTTCACTATACAGAACTTCGACGACCATTGTTGAAAATGTGTTTGATGCATCAAAAGTTTTATGATTTTGTGACGGTACTCTGCGAATTTGGATGTACATAACGCAAAAATGTTCGACCGGAACACACTTTGCGGTTATCATAATTTGCGGTTTATCACACTTTGCGGTTTTTGATACGAATCACAAAGTGCGAAATTCGTTCGAGGACTTTTTCACAGACGAAGTTGATTTTTTAGAAAAATGGCCACATGACTGGATATAATAATATTTGAGAGAAAACAGTTGCTTTGCGTCATTAAAGTGACAAAGTACTTTGTATCTGTACACAACCGCATGGGCAGATATGCAGTAAAAGTGTAGCCTAAAGTAAAATTTTGGAAAATTAAATTTATTTCAAAACTAATCCAACAATTTTTGCCGAGGTTCACACTGCACTGTATGCCGGAGGAATCCCATCCGCACCCAATAAAAAATGCTAATTCAGTATTACCAATCTGGATGCTGTTGCAGCGCAAATTTTTACACGTGTTTCGGTGGTTGTATTGCATAACGTGAGTTATTGTACAAGTCTATACACAGAAGTATACAGAGTAACTTGCTATAGTTTTCTGTACGATTGTGGATTTTCGGCACATTGCTAGCAAACCATCCTGTTCCGCAATCATACACACTGCATTACTGACATTACGGCATCTGGTCGAACCACACCAGCCGGAAGTGCTAGTCAGCGATGTGGGAATTGATCATGTGATAAAGGAGCGAACAGGCAGTTAGATGTGATTCAATCGGCACAGCTCCGGCATGTTGCCAACAGTACATCCCATTAGTTTTATCCTGGCCGTTAACACAGCCGGTTCATCGACTTTTCTGCCCTTCGTACATTATACACTGCCGACTGTATTCCTCTATGCATATACTTTTACTGCACCGTACTACTACTATATAGTACAGTGTATATATTATACAAGCCTTCCAAGTACTTTCCAGTTTGTCCGCTTATAATGGAGAAAGAGTGCAGATTTTGCGGTTTACGCACAGATGCTGCTGTTTGCTTGGATAATCTTGAAAAACTTTGCGTCTTCCTCAATGGGGATTTATCGGCGTTAGATGGCGGTTATCGTACGTAAATCGTCAGAGAAAACAGTGTCTTCCATGACGTACAAGTACAACATTTGTGATAGGAGTATACATTTTCGTCAACGGGAAGCCTTTGTGTATTTTCGCCACAGGGATAAATACTCCCCTGTTTTTATATTCATATGAATATTCCATATTCTTTTGGCAAGATGATATCTCGTCATTTACCCTGATGGGTTATGCACTCCACTGTTGGTGGCTTTTGATATTTTTCCAAACAATCATTTCTTCCGAAAATCTACGGCGGACGTAGTTTACAACTACCTATATAATTATAGGATTTTGTCATCAAATTTTTACAGTGAATATATTTTTCCGAAGAAACATGCCGGAACAACTGGGACGCACAAGTTCATGTAAGTAATAATTTCTTAATATTAAAAAAACAGTAGTATTTATACGTCAGTAAATACGACCCAACTACATATATAGAGTATGCAGTTAACGAACTCCGTTAAATGCTCGATAAATCCAGGGTATATATATATATATGGGTAATGGGTGTGCTAGAATTTTCGATTATCGTTGGTATACATTACTATACAAGTGCGCTTAGCTACGTTAGCGCTTTTATATGGAAATACTCTGTAATGTTCTAAATGCACCATCTATGTAACCAGTATAAATTCACACGAAATATAGATACTTCCTTATAACATCTTCATACATCTGTACACTGGATGTTTTATTTGCGTTGACAATTACTGTATATGTTAAATCTGTCTAAAAGGCGTGCCGCTAACAACGGTAATATATAGCGGAAGAATTTCCCAGTAATTTTTACGTTTCCTTAATGAAGCACCGGATGAGTACATATTTGTAGTTCTGTGTAAAATACACAGCTCATCAAATTGATGAGGGGTTGATTGGCTGGCCGGATGATAAAAAGTGCAAATTATGTAATAATTGGGCCCTAAAACTGTCGCGATCTGGTTAGAAGCCGCGAGTGACACGGGCGCTGTTGTGACATTTGAAAAATGATACCACTCTGGCGATGAGCCGCGCGATGCCGAAGCAGCTTATATGCCATGATGGAAAGCTGGATAATTTTGACTTTGAGCTCCTTCTAAAATGTAACGAGACAGCAGTATGCGCGCGGATCGGATTGTATCGTGTCAGGCCAAGTGATGAGCGACAAGCGTTTAAAATGAACACGTTAAAAACCATGGGCGGTGGCCGTGGATCGGGGAGGAAAAATGCCAAGGCCGGCGTGCATACAGCCGGCTGCGGCATTTCCGGTGGAACGGAATAATGATACAGAACAGGCTACTTGTCTAGTTACATGCGTGCTAATCACTTGGCTGTACGCGTTTGCATAAGGTTGTTGCCGCCTGTCACAATCTGCTTAAATGTCAGACGCGAAGTTTGAAGAAAATGTTTTGCAGTTGCATTTTGAACTACAGTGGTTATGGTTCTGACGTGTTAGCTTGTTTATTAATTTTTTGGAATTTTTTTCGGCGCTATAACGTCTTTTTGATATTGCTAAATTGTGAATTAATGAGTAAGTCTTAGTTGGTAAATGCATATTAAAACCTTCTTATATGTATCTTAATGAACATTTACTTTAATTTGTACGTAATTATATGAGTAATATCAGCAGTTTTTCGTATTGGTAATCTGGATGTGGAGGAAATTTGCTTGCAATCGATCAGACATTTTGCCGATTTGCATTAACTTTTCTTCTAACTATAATTATCATACTGCATCATGTTCTACCGCACACCGGAAGTAGAGAATCTGCAGCTACCGATCACGGATATTATATAAATATCTATACATAAAAATTGTGGCGTTCCCGTGCATGTAGACGTAGTGTGCAAGCATTGGTACATACTCGTATGCATATACAATATCTGTACGCTACTTTCCTTTACAGACGAGAGCACGAAATCCTCATCGATCCGCACCAGCTCCTACATCCAGGGCGTGCCGGTGGCCAAGGAGAAGATCAGTCCCTCCCCGTCGACCGGTGGCAAACCGCCGACCTACACCCTGCAGAAGGCCGCCCGCATGGCCGCGCGCGTTAACACCACGTGGGCGCGCATCGCCAGCGTTATCGCCTACCTGCTGGCCATCTCCGCCATCGGCTTCGTCCTGGTGCTCTACTACGTCCTCTTCTATAATCCCTACGTGGACATCCAGCTGGAGGCGCCGCCTGATGAATTCCTCGTCCGGCGGGATCGCAGTGTGTCGATCATGGAGTCGGCGCTGGATGACAGATGATCGTGCGGATGTACCGTAATTTTGCCACTGACACATATGTACTCGCATAGAACTGATATTATGTGTAGTATACTTGAGTATGCATACATACGTTTGATATGTGCTTGATTTTTGTAAGTAGTCTTGTCTTATTTGTCAATGCACCGGCTTCCTCTCTCTCTCTGGAATGTGATGTTAAATAGAAATACTTGCGAATCTGAAACTTATCAGTCTAAAATTTATTGTACATAAAACTAATTTATAGTGTTAATTGTTGCTAACAAGGTTTGAGTTCGTTACTAGCAGTTTGCTGTTTGTTTGCGGACCCGCGTCGGGCTGTAAATCTAAACGGCTAAAAAGACTCTGGATGCAATTTCAAAACTTTATGAAAGAGCAAAATACCGGCTGACATAAACAAATAAATCACAAACTCGTACAGTTCACTAACATCCGTGTGCAAGTGAAGATATACAGCATGTGACCAAAGTCAACAATATTATCATACAGGACTTATACTATTCGGAACATAATAATTTGAAACCGGAGAATTCTGTGTCTCGTTGGATATTATTGCACAAGAAATTCAGGAATCAAGGTAAATCGTTCACTAACACAAGTATTATAATTTTACTATTTTATGGGGGGAGGGCGGCATTTTGCTTAATCACCATACAATGCATCGGTTTCCCAAGTTTATTATCATCCTTGCAGTATCTTATAATATGTGCATACCAGTGTTCAGCGTAATAACCTTGGGCGTTTAACAGATTCATACTAGGCGCTACAGCGCTGAACAAGACATTTCGGGAAAAAAATCGGACTTTTTAGTAATATATTTAAGAGTTTGACATATTACAGTACGAGCAATGTAATGCATAAACTGATGCATTTGATTTCCTTTTAAATACTGTCAATTGTAACCTGGGCAATGCAACATATACAGCGATTACGGCACAGTTACATCCTTAATAATAATCCGGTCCTTCGGTCCGAGCACCAACACAGTCTTTGGCTCCGCCGGCGGCTGATACTGGAGAGATTTCCTCCTTCTGCAGCCGCCAACTTTCTTCCGCCGCTCCACAAACTGGGGTTGCAGATCCTGCCGGCGCTCCTGATCCGTCTTACCGTCCAATGGGTCGGCAACGGAAGTGCTGAAGGAACGGAGAAACCGTTCAATGTCGCTTTCCAGTCGCAGCTGCGTCTTGCACCGGGCCGTCTCCTTGGCGTCCCGGATGGGCGCTTCCTCCCGTTTGAACTCCTGGCGAACTTCCTCCTTATGTTCCGGGGAGGGATGGGATAGTGGCGCACCCATCGTCAGGTACGCTTGCAGTTCATCGGCGCCGGTCAGTTGCGTGCCATAAACGTTAGTGACCGCCTGCTTGTATATTTGCGATCGGAGTTCAGTCTACTGTTGGCGAATTGTCTGCTTTTCTGCCGGCGGTAGTTGGAACGGGTTGCCGGTGAAACTGGTCATGCCGCTGGTGCGTTGACGGAATCGGGGCTAACAGGAGCGCAATGCATGCATGCATTTTTGTGTGCATTGCACACAAAAATCCAATGACAAACACAGCAATGCGGTTAAAGCAAATTCCCACATCGTGCGCACTGGAAATTATAGTATTTTTTTGCTAAGTTCCGTACAAATAACGTTATACTGGTCCTAGAGTTAAGGACAACTCCATATTAAAGGCCACATCCACAATTTTGTAAAAACTACTTCAATCTGAACTGATAAAACAATATAATGAAATATTCAGTGCATATAAAAGTGGGAAAAAAAAGAATCGACCTTTATATATCACCCGCCTGCTTCCGCCTTCCATGCATTGCTGTATACAACAACAGCATCTTTAGTTCGTATTTAACGATGGTGCTTCTAAAGTGTAATAATGGGATCTGAAAAACTTAATACAGAGGCAAGCGACAACTGACACAAAGACTCATTTCTTGGCGCAACCCTTCTCCATCTAGCATAAACGCTTATACGGAGTATACTGTCGTCGTCCAGTATACGAAATGTTTGTATAAAGGTCTTCTCAAAAGTTTTTCACGACTTGGTACTCCGGATTTTATAGAAACCGCGGCAGCTTGTGTTAATCTTTTGCTGCTTTTTTTATTTATTAGAAAAGTTAAGTGATCAAGTTTTAGGCGATGAGGAATTAATTCACTAAGATTTGCAGATATGTAACAGGCAAGCGCGAGGAGCTCACAGATGTCTTTATTGACATAAAGGCTGAACACAATACTGCGTAATAGCAGGAAGAAAGAACAAAGCCAGTATGGCTGAATCTAGAAAACTGTTGCTAGATGCGTTCACGAGCGTGTCCAAACGTGAGTGACGCTGGCGGCAACGGTGTGCGTGATGCGGCCATCTCAGCTGTGTGCTGTGCGCAGACTGGACTCTATCCAACGCGAGCGTATAAGCGCTGAGTCATACGGCGAGAGAGGGACGAGAGAGCAAGTATGCTCAGTGTGTGCGCACGCGGTATATCCACTTCAGTGGATGAGTGCAGTGCAGCAGCACACGTACGTACATGAGAGAGGCGAATACGGCATGTAAGTGAGTGCTAGTACGCCACTTGTGGGCGTAGCACCACGCACAGGCTCGTACGCCTGATATGCCTCTGGGCGGGAATCCGAGCTCCCGCGAAGGATGCTCCGACTCGGTACCGCACCAGTGTATCGCACAACTCTCCGGTGAGACCCATTGTGGGGTCGCCGGTACGCGTCCTCTGGCCGTGGGAGTCCGGTGTCCGGTTGACCGTCCCATGTTTTCCTTCCAGACCCGTGAGAGGCAAGCAGCTCACGGCCGAAAATCCGGAGGTCGCTCGGGCGTTTCGTTGGACCGGTAATGCGTCTGTTGGCTGGCGTCTGTTGGCTGGCTTGTTGCTTCGGTTGGCATCGGAGAACAATGTAAAAAGGAGAAATGTAATGAAGTCTTATACAACGCGAAAGAAAAATATGCAATAAAGTTTAATCACAATTCCTGTGAGCAAGAGTTAAACAAAACAGATCTGTCAAAGAGATCTAACTAGAAAAATACAATTCCGTTTGTTAGGAAAAAATCTAGAAAAATGCAAAAATCTGTCCGGGGGCTTTATTCCGACTAGGATGACTTCCACGGGGCGTCGAGTCCACGGGGTCTCCTGTCCAACGTTGTCCGGTAGACTGGATCCGAGGCGTCGGTTCTCGGGTTATCCGTCATAACCGGTGAAATTCACCTAAGTCGGGTAAGCACGGTGAAACACTTACTTCCGACTCGCATCCGTCTGTTACGAATGGAGAGGCACTGTCGCAGTTGCGAATGCCGAAGCATCCTCTCTATGTGGAGGAGTTAGACCGAGGTCGGTTTACCAAGGTCGGCCTACCGGTAAGTTGACCGGCGGCATGGAAATCCGGCTAAGTTCCGAATTCCGAAGTCAGGTCGGAAAAACCGATACTCATGTCGTGCAACCTTTGTGGCTGCTGAGTAGAGCAGTTCCGTTTAAAAAGTGATCGGTTAAAACCGTTCAATCTGCTACCACGAGCCGGGTTATGGTTTCATCCGAGTCGAACTGGCTCGAAGGTCCGGTCGGAATTTTCATGTTTCTCGCGGTGGAAATGGTCAGTTGACTACTACCTTGTGCCTTTGTGGCACGGAGTAGTGTTTCCATCCGTTAACTTCTTGGTCGGCATTCCGTTGTGCCGATCCGACCTGTGGTCGGTCGTAATGTTTTCCGGGCATTGGTCGGTTGCAATGCTAGAAGGCGGGTGGTCGGAATTTTCGTTCCTCGATGGTCGATCGAGGTAACTGGCGATGTTCGCGTTCTTCTGTCCGACCTCTTCTTTTAGTTTTGACCACTTTAGCCGACCTGTTGTCGGTCGTCATCCATGTCCGACCTTGGTCGGTTATCCATGTTGGAGGTCGGAGGTCGGCTATCGGCTCCCGTTGGTCGGTTGAAGCATGTTTTCATCCGTCCAAAAGATGTATTCTTCCGTTAGGAGGTCGATTTCCGACTGGTAGTTACTTCATCCGACGTGTTGTCGTACATTTCCGACCTCCGTTCGGTCAGTTCCGACCTCCGATTCGAGGTCTGCTGTACGTCCCTTGTCATGGTTAATTCAATTCCGGGTGTGCCGCCCATCCAGCTACAGTTGACTGGGTTTCCAGTGTCTGAATATCCCTCGGTCAGTTCGGACTGGCAAAAGGACATTCGGCAGCATAACTCCGTTTCTCCTGTGGCTGTGGCGTCTGTTGGCCGAACAGTCCGTTTCCATCAGGCAGTCATGCATGCTTGTGGTGAAAAGGGGCCTTTGTGGTCCCAGCTCACGGAACAAGCTCTTTGGTTTAAATCTGGCCGGGTCTGGTTGCCGGCGAGGATCCATCTTCATGCACATGCAAGGGTCCTGAGGTCGCATGAGATCCACTTTATCGTTTTTCGTCGCGAACCAGAGACACCTAGCCACTTCTGTTGGGGTTAGACGACTCTTGTCCGCAGGGGAGATTCGTTTCTCGCCGATGACGCAGAACAGCTGGCCGGTTCTGTTGCGGGCAGTTGTTTTCCGTCAACGGACTTGTTAAGGGATGCAGGTCGTAACTACTAGTACGATCTGCCTAGGATGTTCCATTTGAGTCCTGGGGAAGCAGGTCGCGGCGGAGTCGTTGGTACGCCGGTAGCCAAATCACCGTCGCTGTTCCTCTTCCGGGAATGGCAGCACGTTCAAGGCGCGCGTAGTCGTGTTCACCGGTGAATCGGCCGTTATGTCCAATATCCTCCGGGGGAGACGTCGGTTGGACTCCAGGTACAGAGTCTGTAACTCTGGGTTCAGCGGAGAATCCGGTACGACTTTCTGACGGTTGCGATCGTGGTTATTACCGCGGTCTGCGGTATCTACCTATAGCATGTACGACCTTTGTGGTCGGCTAAGGCAGCAGATCCTGGCTGGTGCTTTCCTGCTTCCCATGTTGAGTCGGGTAAGGTAGCCGGTCGTGGTTACCGCGATCTGTTGTCGTATTTTCTGGGCACGGTCAACCTTTGTGGTCGGCTTATCCCAGTATCCGACTGTTTTCGGAGACGATGGTTACTGGTCGGCTGCTCGATTCTCGAGTCGGCCATGGGTGCCAAGCAAGCATGATGATAAATACGCAGTTCCGTATTTAGCAACATGCTAGCGTTATCCTCTCGGTCTTCACTCCAGAGTCGGTTGGCCGGAGTAATCTTCAATCTCACCATGTAACAGACGGTTGGGTGTGGTTTCCACGATTTTAGCCGGAACGTCTGTTGGTTCCAACTGTAGCAGATGTGGTTCACGATGTGCTGTGTTAGCCTACGTGGTTCCGCGGTCTGCGCATGCCATGCTGGGGAACTGAGGTCGGTTGCTCAGTTCTTTCCAGGGGATTCCTCGGGGGACGTGCCGGTACGGTGAAAGGACCGAACTACCCAGGTCTAACCACACGTTTCCGGGTCAGACCGAAGAATCCGGCCGACCTTTGTGGTCGGCTTTAATGGCGTTATCGTGTGTCGACGTCTGTTACGTCCATGGTGTAAGAACTGAAGTATGGTATCCGTTCACATTTCCGTGTCGTTTCTCGACGGTGCTGTTTCTCAGCTAGGCTGATTCTTAGCCAGGTCGGTTCTCGACCAGGTCGGTTCTCGACCATGCCGGTTCTCGGCTCTAAGTCCTAGGACTAGGTTTCCTTTGTGGAAACCTGCCCCTATCCCAAGTTCACATCGACCGGCGCATCGCCGCCGAAGTAATCTTCTTCGTCATCGTCCGGTTTTGGTCGGTGATGAGGTCGTAATGTGGACTCCCCTGGTTTGCAGCTGACAGAACTACTTCGTTGGGACGCATTGTCGTCCTCCGTCTCCTGTCCAGGGTGTTCAGCTTGGGACTTCTTTGCCTTGGCTCCTTGTTTCCGCAACTTCCGTGCTAAGGGTCGTGCGCCCGGTGCCAAGTCGTCCGACATTCCTTCTTCGTAGGGATGTGAAGTAAATCCAGCTGGTAAGTGCTTCTGTTGGCGGTACCAGCTCACAAATCGAGGTGCGTCGTCGTACGTGTCGATCTGCTCTTGGGTTCGGATAGCGTATCGTCCAGCATGCCGTTCGTGGGCGAAGAGAAGATCCCGTAACCAGACGGCTAGGATGATGCTTCTCATCGGCGAGCCGAGTTGGGCTACGATGGTTTCTAGCGCTGGTGGGATCCTCTGGTTCCGATAAAGTCCATATAGGGTAAAGTGGCAATGGTAATTGCCAAGTCGTGCTGCAAAGAGGTATCGTAGTACCGCTGCCGTACTGTTCTGTTCCAATGCGATCTCCTCTTGTGGGAGATATTGCAGCAAGTCCAGAGCCGCTCGAGCCGCCGTAATGACAAAAGCCGGGTGTGCGTCGGTGATGACGAACTGGGCTACGCTTTCCAGCTCGTCGTACTGGTATTCGCGTGGGCCGAGCTGACTTAACCGTGGTCCGTCCGGACTGTACAGCGGTGTGTTCAGCAAGGCCGGGTCGGTCATCGACGGCAAGGCGTTCGCTCGGTCATATGGATGTTCCATATTTGGGTTGGTGTGACTGGTCATGTTGAAGGTCGGCAACCATTGATGTCGTTCCATCAGGGTCTGGTAGCCGGATCGGATGAGGAACTGTCGTAAGTTTTCGACCATACGCCATACTTGTGGGCGATGTCGTTCCTCGTATTCCATGGTGTTCATGATGTAGTCCGTTCGTTCGGTCGGATGTGGCATGACGACTTCAATTCCCTGTCGGCGGGCGACGTCGTAACGAGGGTCTTCTCGAGCCGGCACCTCCACTTGTGGGAGATTTGCCATTTGATCGGCTACGTCCACATCCATTTGGTCGGGTTGTGCTTCGGGTTGCGCTACCGGTTCCGCCATGTCGGCATCCGGCTGCGGCTCTGGTGGGATAAAGTTCCGTTTCGACTTACTGGTTGAGTCGACGACCAGTCCGATGCTGATTTCTTCAGCTCCGGTTCGTTTGCCGGGTGGAGGTCTGGTAGGTTCTTTTCCAGCTCCTCGAATAATGGCCCGTTGTTCCTCGATTCTGTGTCGAGCGTCGTGGCCGATTCGATGCCGGAGGTCGTGCCCTGCCAAGTTTCTAGCCGGTCGGCGCTGCTGTTGAGTCGTCGACGGCGGCGGCGCCATTGGTTGCGCTGCTGGTCCAGGTTGTGGGATCTGTTGGGACACTATCGGTTGAGCTTGGGTAATGACCGGCGTAGCCCTTTGTGGGATAGCCGTCAACTGTTCGGATGTAGCCGGAGTCAGGGTAACCAGCTGTCGGGTTCCGTCCGGCATGTTCATCATCATTTTCATCTCAATACTCTGAAGTGGTCGGTGCGGATCTCCGACGAAGACTTCACGTATTTCTTTAACCAACTGTTCTGGTTCCGAGCGACCCTGTGTGGGTGCCGGTAACCGAACCGTTATTTCCGGTTCGTAACGGGTCGGTGGTGGGTAAACTTCCATTTTAGAGATCTTCTCGTGACCTCCTTAAGTTTCTTCTTTTCGTCTTCTTGGCGTACCAGGTCTTGTTGCTGGCGCCATTCAAGGAGTCGGTGTGTCAATACAGGAGGTCGAGTGCCCCTCCAACCTTCGTCGTCGGTTCTTTGACGTTGGATGGTGGCCAAATTATCCTGTTCGTACGCCCGCAGCTGGTTGACGAGGTTCTCTCGGCCAGCCAAGTATCTGTACGCGCTGAGGTTTCCAGCAACGACGTTCAAGTACAGAGCTTGGGCCAGGGCATATGTCTGTCTTCCGGTGTCCGGGGTTCGGTCATTCGTAAAAGAAATGATGCACTGCGCGCATGGGAGTCTGTTGCCCTGGGGCGTCGCATTCTCGCTGCATCTTTGGCAGTCTCTGGTGAAGGCTTCCGTTCGAGGCTATTAAAATAAAAGTTAAGCAATCCTCTTGTCGGATGCGTCCTATGTTATATGTCTATGGTTCTACACCCTATAATTACTACGGTCGGGCCAGGTCGGTTCTCGAGCTGGTACAGGGCGCCTTTGTGGTGCCACTGAGGTAGGTCGACTTCTGTTGGTCGATAACACCTTTGTGGTGTTTGATGGAGGTAGTCGGTTCTGCAACTCCTCCGACGCGTTCTGCGTCTCCTCATTCCCGAGTAGGAGGGTCGGTTGGTTCCGGCCGGTCCACTTGGAGAGAGTCGGTCGACTCGTTCTGTTGCTCCGTGGCCGGTCGTTCCTTTGGTAGATGTCCGTGTCGGTGTGTCGACGGGTTACAAGCCACGAACCGCTGGCCGCCTTGGATGTTGTCCGTACTCGAGGCGAAACGTTTCTGGAAGAATCCCTTTTCCAGGACCCACTCCAGCTCGTCGGCCAGGTCATATCCCTTGTTCCGGGGATCTTTCTTCGGCTTGTATTTCGGGTCGGACAGTTGAGGTTTCTTCGCCAGTCGAGCGAAGTCGAACCGCGCCAATAGTTGGTGCATGAGTTCACCGCGCGTTATTCCTTCTGGATGCCACGTCATTTCCATACACGCTTCAATGGCGTGTACCCATCCTTCATATGTATCGGGGGCCGGGTCCAGTTTATCCGGTGGAAATTCGTAATACATGCGCTTGTTGCTGGCATGTGTCCGGATTATTTTTCCGCGTTGGTAGCCGAGTTCGCAATACCGTTTGACGTTGTTGTAGCTCAATTGTCGCCACTCGCCTTCGTTCACCTTCCAGTGTTGGAGGAGTTTAAAGGCGATCCTCGGCGTAGCGAACTTCGGTCCACGGGTCGCGAGAGCCTTCAAAGCCGCAAACGTGTACATCCATCCGGGGTCGTATTCCGAGACGGAAGGTTTCGGCTGTTGGGCTCGCATCATACCGGTGTATTTTACCCGTACATTAGCCAGTGGGGGGATGTCGTTTGGTAATTCCTCCCTGGTATCTTCATCCCATTCCGTTAGGAGTTGATCTGGTTCAGAGTCGGGGGTTACTGGTATCCGTTGACCGTAGTAACGGGGGACGTAGACGTCGCCACTATCTTCTTGCATCGGCTCGTCGGCATTGTTACCGTCGGCCGGTGGCTTATCCTGTTTGTCGGATATTTCCGGTTCGCCCTGCTGTTGGGGCGCCGAAGGCGGTGGCGGTGGTGGTTTACCGTTGTCGTCGTCGTCGTCGTCTTTTCCCGATCCACTTCCAGGTGTTTGGAAGTCTTCATCGTCCTCATCGTCGTCTTCGGATTCGGACTTGGTTGACTCATCCTTCTTAGCCGGCTTCTTCTTGGACTTTGTTGTCTTCGGCTGACTCTTTCGTTGAGTCTTCTCTTCTGGGGCCGGCGAGGTTTCCATCGGCGAGGTCGGCGGAAGTGACTGTGTGTCCTTCGGCTTAAACCGTCCTTTCGTGCTCCGACCTGGTTTGGTCACACTTGCTCGTCCTTGTGGAGCCATCGCCGTGCTGATGTACGTTTTCGGCTCGAAAGGTGCCCGAGGTCGGGGGCGAGCCTGGATCCGCTTCTGGGATGACTGTCCGGCTGATCTAGCGATGTGCAGCATGTCGGCTGCAGCACCGGACGGTTGTTCGTCCGTCTCGCTATATTCCTCCACGATCGTTTCCGTACCCGCTGGTGGCTTGTCTTTGTTGACGTAGGACATCCGGAGTTTAAACTCACGTCGTTGTGGTTCCGGTATGAATCCTGGTACGGTGTACCGAACGGGTAGGTCGCGTTCCGCATTGGTCGTCTGAAGAGTATATTCTTCAACCATCGACGCGATTTCTTCGGTGATTATGTTGTTGATGATGCTGTCGATGTTCCCCTCGCCGTTCATGTACATCACATTGTATACACGGGCTATCTGGACCAAGTTCGATCCGCGGGGATTCCTGATGTATCCGATGCACCTGGCAATTCTCGTCGGTATATCGTCAGAATTCTTTCCGGAGGTGCTTTTAAGTGCTTTGATGACGTCTGGTGGGAGCAGTTCGGCCATCCGTCCCCATTGTCGGTGGACGGCTACCGCTAATCCGAAGTCCAGGGTCCACGCCACAATTGCCATCATAAGTTGATGCGTTAGCCATGTGGCGCCGTCAGCTTGGACGTTAGTCAGGAGGTCGCGCACCAAGGACTGGTAAATGTCCGTGCCATTGTCTTTGGCGTTTTTGATGCTGCGTACCACTTCAACGTGTACCCGAGCAGTACGGAGTACTATCTCCGTATCTGCCTCTTCTTGTTGGTCGGGTAGTCGTTCACGTACGTCGTCAGGGGCCGGCCACTGTGATTCGTCAGTATCCGGTGCGTGTCGGAAGATTTCCTTCCGATCTCCCTTAAATCCTTCGTATGGGTCACCGTCTCCGTGGTCGGAGATTGAATCCTTTGCTTCGATGTCCGAGATTTGGTCGGATTCTGCATCAGACTGTTGCTTTGAGGTCGAAGGCTGAGGTTCCGACAACTCTTCCGGCTTGGACGACGTCTGTGGTCGTTCAGCCGTAGCTTTGGTCGGCTTTGTGCCGGCCTGTTTCATCAGGTCTTGGAATCGTCGTTCAGCAGCTTCGCTGTCATATTTTTCACTGGGTTTGTCTTTCCGCTCGGTCCTTTGTGGGCCGGCGTCGGAGACATCCAGGTCGTCGGATGACTTATGTCGTTTAGCCGGGTTAGGTTTCGGCGTCTTCACCGAAGGATCCGACTTCTGTTTGGTCGACTCCTTGGTGTCCGACTTTGCTGGTTTCTTTTCGGTTTCTGGTTTGGCGGACTGTTTAGCCGCTTCTTTCTTGGCTTCCTTATTGGCCTTCTTCTTTTCCCTCCGTGACAGCTTAGCCGAGTTGGCCGAGTGGATGACCTGCGAATTGAGCAGTGGATCGTCGTCGATCTGCACGGATGGTTGCCGGATCGGCTGGGGAACTTTCATCTTGACGACCAATTGTGAGGTCGTCTTAGAGGTCGGCGTGGGAGTCGGAGCGGTAGTTTTAGCCGGTGTGGCATCTTGTAGTGCCTTCGGCTGGCTCTTTTCCTCCCGATAACGTTCTCCCATTCGTTTCATTACTTCAGCCATCCTTTCTGTTAGTCGGTCGTATTCTCGACGGACGGCGTCAGTGTTTCCGGTTAAGTTAGTTCGGCGAGTTCTCAACGCGTTCCATAAGTCCCTATCTTCTGGGAATGCGATGTCGACGCTAACGTCCTGTTCCGACCGAGTCAGGTCTTGGACGTGCCGTAAGGCCAGATCATTATGGAACTCGCGTGAGAAATCCTGTGGAGGTTTCTCCTTCTTTTTACTGGACCTGACCGGCTCTGTTGCCGGCTCATTTGTCCGAGATTCATCTATGGTTAGATCGGGGCCGGAGCGGGCAGAGGTCGGTTCGGCCTCTTGTTGTACCGTTTCGGCTTCCGTTCCGGTTTTAACCTTCGATGGAGACGTTGTGTCCATCTCCTCCGGCGTTTTCTTCGCTTTGGTCGGAGTGGTTTTGGGCGTGAACCTACGTGGTTGTTCCGTTGCAGGTTGACTCGGCATCCGTACTGGTTGGGATGCTGCCCGGTTCGGCGAGATTTGTTTCACCGGTGATCGACTCCTCCGTGGAGTCGGCGTTTCCGTTCTGGATACCGACGACCGACCTGAGTTCGTGCGTGCATCTTGTAGCAACGCGTCCTGCCATGTTAGGTCGTCGTCGTAAGTCGGATCGTCTTCGATCCGTGAACCTTTCCGGTATCCCTGGTCGGATTCGTCACTGTTATCCGACATTGTCATCGGAATTTTGTCTGTGACGTCCTGTCCGGGTTGAGGTGGTACTTCGAGGGTGTAGGCGGCCGGGTTGATGCGAGGTCGGCGGAGCTGTTGGACCGGCTTTAAAATAGCCGCGTCAAGCGGGAGCTGTCGTAACTCCTGCTTTCCGCACCTCAGTATCATCAGCCGTCGTAAGGCCGTGTCCCTTTCCTGGGTGGTGGCATAAATCCGTTGAGCAAGTTCTGTCTGCTCGTCTTCGGACATGTTCTGCTTCCAAATACCTCCCTTCAGTTGGGCTTCGTAAAGTATCCGTTGCAGGTCCAGTGATTTTGCTTTTCTCATCAGCCTCTTGTGGATGCTGGGAGTAAATAGTTCGATGTCCGAAGGGGTCGACCTTTGTGGTCGGCTTTCCTTTTCTTCGGCTGGGGGTAATGTGGGGGCCGACCTCATCAGTTCGAGGAGTTGTTCCTTCGTTCTGACCGGTGCAGGTGAGAAGAGACGTCGTCGTGGGCCACGTTCTTCGATGTTTTCACTGGTCTTCGGCTCCCTATGCAAGGGTAAGGTCGTCGGTCGGACAAGTGGCTTCGGTTGGCCATTATCCGGTTCCGACGTATCCATCGCGTCGACTTTGTGTTCGAACGGTGGTACCGGTGCATTGTCCATAGGGTCGTCCTGGTCGACTGGTGGATTTGTTTCCGCCAAGTTGGTCGACTTCCTTGGTGACTGTTGCACCTTTGCTTTCTTCGCCGAAGGCGGATGTTTCGCCTTACGCCGTTGTTCTTCGGCTTCCTTCCGTTTTCGGAAGTCTTCGACAAACGATTCAATCTTTGCCAGTAAAACTTGCAACCTTTCACGGTTCTTCGCCGACTGTTTTGTTGTCGGTCGCAAAATGAACCGGACCTCCTTGGTGTTGTTCTCCAAGTGGCCTAAGTTGATATCGATCTGCAAGTACTGGGGACTCTGTTGGTCGGTTATATCCATTATACGTCGGAGTTCGGCTATGACTTCGTCAGCCGACTTCAGGATTCCGTTTATCCGCTCCAGCGTGGCTGGGTCGAGGTCGGCCTACTGTAGTGCCGGAGGAGGTGGAGGTCGGACGAGGTCAGCAGTCGGGTTTCGTGTCGACTGGACCTGTCTTATCCGTGATGTTCGACTAGTAACTATGGCCCTTTGTGGTGCCTGATTAGTCGTCTCCGTCCTCTCTTTGTCGTCCTCGTAATTTCTGACCTGCATTTCCAGCCAGGATGTAATTGAATTTATATGTCGCCTAATGCTGGCCGTCTTGGGGGCATCTGCGTGGTACATTTGACGCAGGTGTTTGGCGTTGCTTCCCCAGGCCAAAATGTCGCGATCCAAGTCATGAGCCAGTTGACTGCCGGATTCGCAGAAGTTTCGGCGAGCTCTCATCTCTGTGATGAGTTGCTCGACCTGGTTCATCAGTTTGATGGTCGACGACGGTGCGCTGATCGGCAAGCTTCCTGTGTCCGGAATCGCTGCCATTATCCGTGCTTCTGTAGCCGGAGACATAGGTCGGTCACTGATGTCCACTGGTTTCGGCGAAGCCGGTTTGGGCTGAGTCGGCACCACTGTTGGTGTCGGCTGGACCGGCGCTGTTGTCGACGTCGGCTGACTGTTAGTAGCTGCACGTCGCGCTCTTTCTGCTTGGTTATCCCGAAGACTTTGTCGTCTTTGGGTGTCAATTTCCGCTTCCAAGTCATGGACGTGCATTTGGGAAATCCGGAGCTGGTCGTGTAATGCCAGCTTTACGTTGATCATTGTTGGGTCAGTATCGCTCATGTCGGCTATCTGACGTTCCAGGCCGGCTGCAATCTGTTTTGCCCGGGCCAAGTTCTGATCCATAATTTTCCGTCTTTCCGCGAGTGTAGGTTGGGTGGGTTGTCCCGTGGAGGTCGGCTTCGGTTGAGTCGACTTCGGCTGAGCCCTTTGTGGGTTTGCCTCGAGAATCTTCCACAAGTCCTGAACCCGTCGAGAGCAAATGACATGCTGTTGTTCCAGCGCTTCTCGTAGCCGTCTCTCGAAAGGTTTGTTAGGGTCCAGTTCTCGGAGTTGTTTGTTAAGGGTTTCCATGACCTCTACCGCTTCTCGGTACTGGTCTTCCACTGCCTCGAGATCGACTTCTTGTTGGTCGGTCGCGGCTTCGACTAGTGGAAGTTCGACGTCCGGTCCGGGCGAGTTAGTTAGGGTCATTTCCTCATCTTCTGGGGTGACCGGCTTGGTCGGTGCTTCTGTCGGCACCGCCAAGTATTGTCGGATGTGGTCGACTATCGACTGAAGAGCTTCAGCTAGTCGGTCTTGGTTCGGACCTGCGCTCGGAATTCCCCATGAGCCAAGTGTGTCGGCCCAGTCCAGGTCGTTCCGTAGAGCTCGATCGATTCGTGACAGTCGACATGCCTCCTGTTGAGGTAAGTTTCCCTTGAGTCGGTGGAAGAAGATTTCTGCCAAGTCCTGACCGGCCTGGTAAATAACTTCGATGTTGCCGAGCAGGTCTGTCATCGGCGTCGAGTGTACCAGGGTCATCACCGCCGTTGTGGTCGGTGTCGGTCTTCGAGGTGGTGGTGGCGTCGGAATCCGATTGTAGTTCGGTTCGGCGTCGAGGATTTCTGTTATCCTCTCGATGGTCGACCTGAGTTGCCGTTCGTCGGCTTCGGTCGGCTTATCCATGTTGATAAGGTCGTCGGCTTGCCTTAAGTAGGCTGCCAAGTGATCCATCTTCTGCCGAGCTTCCTTGACACTAACTATATCGACTGGAGTTATGTCGATATATTTTCGCTGGAGGTCACCCAATAGATCTCGTCCGTCAGAGATCGTGGTTTCAATCTTGTGTCGACGGTCCTTTTTCATCTGTGTCGTTGGTGACACAGCAGGCGTCGGTGAGGATATCGGCGAGTACCTAGTTGAACTCGTCGTCGGTTCCACCGTCAAGAGGCTTCGTTGCTCTCTATTGGAGTTAACCAGCAGGTCGACGCCGGGTTGAATCAAGCGTCTGTGGTTTTCCGTCATCGGCGGTCCATGTTGGATCAGGTCTTGAACCATTTTCATGCGAGTTAAGATCTCGCTGAGTTTCTCTCGGGCGTTCGGTTCGAGGCCCTTTGCTGATCGTTCGTTGATCTGCTTCGAGATTCGTTCTGCCTCCCGCAATGCGACTTTGGCATTGATGTACGTCCTAAGGCCTTCTTCGGTCGGCTCCGTTACGACCTGTGTGGTCGTCGGTTGCGATGAGGCGGTTGCCGTCTGGAGTGCTTGTTCCTCCGTTCGGATTTGTGTGTCAAGTTCGTTATGCTGGTTGTACAGTTGTTTGTACTGATCCAACAGAACTTGGAACTCCTGGGGACGGTTTGCTCCGCTTGTTGGGAGAATTCTCATCCGTTCCCGTATCTTGTTGGACTGATTAATTATCCCGCTTTTTCTTCGTTTAAGGGATTCAATTTTCCGAAGTCGTTCCGGGTCGACCGTAGTGTTAGTCGACGTATTCATCATGACGGCCTGTGTGGTCGTCGTCGATGTGCTGGAAGTCTGTTCTTCCAGCTCCGAGGTCGGACGTTTCTCCGTGAGGATGAACTGTTTCATGTGGCCCATAACGGCCTCGAGCCGGCTTTTGCCTGGTTCTGTCGCAGGGATGCCGTTTCTTACGAAGTCCTCTGCCAACTTTATGTCAGTTACCAGAGTGTTAATCTTCGGTAAGGCTCCGGACACCGTTGTCTCGGTGATATCCTCGTAGATTCCCATGAGCGTCCGCTTTCCATCGAGGATTGTTCTCCAGATTTCAGCGGCCCGGGGGTCTTCCCTAGCTCGGAGTGCCATGATGTGGTAAGACGGAACTTGTTGTTCGTTACCAGGTGGGTCACTCTGGATCAGTTGTCGGATTGTTCCGACATGGTTGATGATCCGTTGAGCCACATCGTCGGTGGTCGGTTCACCTCTTGCCGATAGTATTTGGACAATGCGAATACTTCGCTTGATGCTGTTGATCCGTCCAGCATTGGCTAGCGCGATGTCTCTGTTGACATGCGCTCCTGTCCATCGATCTAGGGCAAGATTTCCTTCGGCGACGACGGCCTGCACCTCTATCGTTGAAGGTGGCTTAACGTTGTCCGACCGTCGTTCGGCTGCGTCCAAGTTCTGGACGAAGTGGGGGTGTTTGTTCATCAATTGATGAAGTTTGTCCAGTTCCCTCCGTATAGTCCGTAGTGGTAGTTGTTCCGTCGGTATCTCTTGGGGGGGATTTCGGTAAGCGTCCGATAATGACGTTGAGTTCCAGTTGGTCTGTCTCGAGTGTACGAGATTCGACCGTTCCGCGTGGTGTGTCGTCCAACCGCGCCTGGATCCGAGTAGCCATTATGTTAGCTGCTCGGAGGAAGTGTGCCAATTCCTGTACTGTCACAGGTGGTCCACCTTGCACTTCCTGCGGAACTTGTTGGTTCACGTCCATTTCGACGTCGGGGGCCGCCACTGGTTGGGTTGCCTCCAGTTCCATCGCTCGGATCTCGTTGTCCTTCGACATGGCGTAGTCGGTTAGCCGACGTATTATTTCTACCGTATGTTGGTAGTCCGGATGCCCTGGCGCAAGACGAGTCAGCGTTTGTTGCTGCTTACGTATATTGTCATACGTCTCGTCGCGTAGGAATTTAGCGTTTTCCAGCCGGGCGAGGCGTTTTTCTTCGTCGATGACGGCCTGTGTGGTCGTCACCGACGTTCCCGGTTGAACCTGTGCCGCTTCCAGGGTTCGGATTTGGCGTTCCAGCACAATGATTCTCGCGTTCGACCTTCGGACCTGTTCTTCCGACTCCCACCGTTTGTAGGCGTAGTCATGGGTCGAAGGTGGAAGGTCGGCTGCCTTCGTGGTATAGTAGGCAACCTGTCTCCGGGACTCGTCTAGTTGTAGTCGGAGTTTTCCTATCTCCACCGACGGTACTCGAGCAGTCGTCTGTTGGCCTGCCGAGGTCGGCTGGGATGTTCCAATGGGAATGGATGTCGACGTTCCGACCTGTGTGGTCGTCGTCGACGTATTTTCTTGCGGAGCAGTTGTCGGTTGAGCTGCCGAAGTTTCCGCTTCATGAATCTCGTCCTCCCTTTCCTGGACGTATTCATTCCATTCCTGGATTTGATCCGTCAATTCCCTCATCCGTTGAGAGAAGTATTGATCGGTGGGTAGGAGGTTGGTAAGTCGCTGTTGTAACCGAGCAATAGTGTCTATTGCATCGGTTCGCTTTCCTCTTAGGTCCTCCAACCGAGCGAGTCTCGTTTCCTCGTCGATGACGGCCTGTGTGGTCGTCACCGATGTTCCCGGTTGTGCCTGTCGAGTCCTGAGAGCGTATTCTTCGGTTCTAATTTGCTCTTCCAGGTTGACCGCCTTGGATCGGTAGTAAGCCTCTTGTCGGCTGAGTCGTCTCATTTCGTGGTCATAGTTATCCACTGTTCTAGGGAGGTCGTTCATCTGTTGGTCATATTCCGCCACTTGTTTTAGGGCGTCCTCCCGTTGAATTCTCAGTTTACCGATCGCTAATGACGGTGCTCGGCTGATCGTCTGTTGGACAGCGGAGGTCGTCGATGTCGAGTCCGGTTGTACCGATGTCGACGTACCGGCCTGTGTGGTCGGTGTTGACACGGTTCCCTGGGAGGTAGCCGTCGGTTGAGCTGACGTCCCATCCTTTTTCCGGATCAGGTCGTAGTTGCCATTAATGAAGGTTTGGAGTTCGCCGATCTGCCGTAACAGTGCAAATCGGTACTCGGAATGGTCCGGGTTTGAGGCTGTGGTCGCCGCTAGTGAATCCTCCAAGTTTTTGATTTGGGATTGGGCGATTTCCACTTGACGGCGCAGTTCTCGCGGCGTCTCCGTTCTGGATTGACCACTCGCCGGCAACGTTACCGGTGGCGGTACTGGCGGTGGAGGCATTGAAGTTACGACCTGTGTGGCCGTCGTCGGTGCAAAACCCTGTGTGGGCTGCCCTCCTGCCAAGCTTCCGTACTGGTTTGACGGGTTCGTCAGATATGGCGCCAACGTCGGATTTCCCCAGAGAGTCGGTTGTCTCGGGTATCCGAGTCGAGTTGGCGAGATCGGCGGTGAGAACGGTCCTGGTACTGTTGACACTAATATCGACCTTGGTGGCGATATAGTACCGTCCGGGCCAATTATACTAATTGATGCCAATCTGGTCGGTGACATCATTCCCGGTGGTGACGGTAATGGTGGGAACTGCAGTGGTGGTCCCATGAGTGTCGTTCCGTTCCGAGCGATGATGTGTCGGATACGGGTGCGATCTATTGTTAGATCCGCTACGTCCGCTGTTAGATCCGCTGGAAGGTTGGTCGTTACGACGTCGGTCTGACATTGTTGTCGCTGTTAAGGAAAGGAAATACGGCGCGTTAGAATTCTACTAACTCCCGTACATTCAACTGAAGATGTTCCGGTCAATTGAAGAGGTTCCAATTTCGACACCAAAGGTCCATCTATTCCTAGCTACTGTTAAGCTACCTATAACCTATGTTAAGTTACGCCTATGGCCCTATGACTGAGTCAGTGCTGTTGTGACTGATGTTTTAGGTGTCTTTGGTTTGACTGGTTTGGTCGGTTTCTCCGAGTCAGCTCGTCCTTCTGAGATTCTCTCGAGGATCTCCTTATGAGCTTCATCTTCAGTGACTTCGGTTTCTTCCAGCATCTGTTGTGCCGTCAACTTCGGCTTCTTGGCCGTTCCATATTTCCGTTTGGGTTTGGTCGGTTCGACTACCTGGTCGGCTACCGTAACTTCCGTGGTTGGTGCCACCGGGCCGGTCGTTTTAACCGTCCTCTTCGTGTATTTCCTTTTCGGTTTGGTGAATTCGACCTCCTGGTCGGTCGTTTTGACTTCCGTGGTCGACGCCGATTGGTCGGTTGGTTTAACCGTCCTCTTTTTCTTAGCCGGTTTTTCTGGCTTCTTTGTTTCGTCCGTCGGTTGGGTAGCTGGTTGAACCGATGCTTCCGACTTACTATCCGACTACTTCGGTTTCTCCGTGGTCGGCTGAACCGTGTCTTTGGTTGATTTCTCCGTAGTCGGTGCTGGTTCACTGGCTATGACGTCTTGCTTCTGCAGTTCATGCAGTGCTGGGGTTTCGAAGTCGGTCGGCGGTTTCTTCCGTGGTCGACCTCGTTTCTTCTTCACCGTCGGCTCGGTCTTATCCGCAATGTTGGTCGGATCCGATGATTTTTCGACGGTTTCTTCTGGTTTCTTCTTCGGCGTACCAGTCACCTTCCCCTTTGTGAGGTCGGCTACCGGGCCAGATGACCGAGTTACCGGCCGACTTGTCTCAGCTCGGTAATGTTTCACTCGATCGACGGCTACCGTATCTTCACGTCCGTCCTCGCAGCGAAGGAGTAAGTTGTTTGGGCCAACATAGTTGATGACCGTCCAGACTCCATCGTAGCGTTCCATCCTTGCTGGATCCTTGGTCGGAAATTCCACCGTAACTTTATCCCTCGGTTTGAAGGTCGGTGTCGACTTCTTCTTGTTGTAATGTTCGGCGTTCCGCTCGAAAGCATCGTCTATGTTGATGCGAGCGATTTCGTGTGATCGCTGAAGTCGTTCCTTGATCCGCCGGATGTAGTGTTCCTTGTCGGTGAAGGTTTCTGGGGTATTCGTTCCGGCCACTATGTCCTGTGGCATGGGCATTTCTCGCCCATAAAGCATGTAGAATGGTGAGAACTTCGTCGAGGCATGGACTGCTCGGTTCATCCCGCAGACGACGTAGGGTAAAGCTCTGTGCCAACGGTGTCCGTCCTTTACATCGCAGAACTTCCGTATACCGTCCCATATCGTCTGCATCTGCCGTTCGACTTGTCCTTGTCCTTCCGGATGGTAGGCAGTTCCAAGCGTGTGTTGGATGTCGAAGATCCGTGCGACCTTGGCAAATGTTTTCGCCGTGAAGTGAGTCCCTCTGTCCGAGTGGATGAAGGTCGGCATTCCGTATTTTAGAAGGACGTCTTCCACGAAGAACTTTTCAAATTCTCGTGCGGTATTGGTTTTAGTTGCCCGGGCTATGGTGAATTTCGTCAGCTGGTCTGTTACCACTGCGATGTACTGGTATCCCTTCGTCTCAGTCCGAGGTAGGGGACCTTTAAAGTCCGCGTAGATGCGATACCAGGCTTCACCAACCTCCATTTTCTGGAGTTTACCGGGTGGTGGACATCGGGGCTTGTTGGCCATAATGCACTGTCGGCATTTGTCGATGTACTCGATGATGTCCGACGTCATCCTTTCCCAGAAGTATCGGAGCTTCACCGCTTCGATCGTTTTCTCCCGGCCGAAATGGTTTCCGGTTTTTCCGTCGTGGAGAGATCGGATTATGTTGTTCCGCATGAATAGCGGTACGACGAAGCATCGTTCCAACTTCAGGTTGATTGTCTTAAGTCGGTATAAGACTCCTTGAGCCATCTGGTAATGTTCCAGATGTTTCGACTTGTGGTCGAGTTTCTCTGGGTTCTCCAGCTCGTCAATGATTTTGCGCAGTCGCGGGTCTCGCAGCTGTGCTTTCCGAAGTTCTTCGTTTGGTCTCGCCGGCGGTGGTAATGTTTCACCGTTGGGGTCGTTGTTGTCCAACTCTTCAGCCGTGTTGACTGTCCGAATAATCGGTTCCAGCGTCTCCGATGCTGGTATGTTGATGACCCGTACCTCTGTGGTACTTAAGTCATGCCAGTCGGAGATGACGTTACATCCAGGAAGAGGCGGTGGGGGTGGAAACCTTGGTGGTTCCTCCCCGTCTTTCCGTTTCTTCTTCCATGCTTTGTCCTTCAGACGTCGGTTGGTCCGAATGGTACAAGCTTTTATTTCGTCCTTAAGGTCCTCGAAGTTGGGGACTTGGTCCAATTCTTCGTGTGGATCTTTGTCGTCACTACGTTCGAGTGGCCATCTCGATAGAGCATCTGCATTGTCACAGAATACTCCCGGCTTATACTGGATGGTTATGTCCCGTCCTTGTAAAGCCAGTGCCCAACGTGTCAGTCGAGGGTTGATGCCGGGTCGGTTCGACTCGCATCGGAGCAGGTTCTGCAATGCTCGGTGGTCCGTTCGCACCGTGAATGGTCCGTGGTCGATGTAGTGTTTAAACTTCTGCACCGCCCATACCACGGCCAAACATTCCCACTCGGTTACTCCGTAGTTGAGTTCCGGTCCGTGTAAGACTCTACTGGCGTAGGCGATCGGGTGACTGTCTTGTGAGAGCACCGCGCCGAGTCCGGCTCCGCTTGCGTCACATTCTATGACGGTCTCTTTTGTCGGGTCGAACTTCGCCAGTACGGGCGCTTCTGTTAGCGCTTTCTTAATGTCGTTGAACTCGGCCGTGTGGGCGTCCGTCCAATCGAGCTTAATGTTTTTGTCCTTCCGTAGGAGCTCATACATTTTTGACGTTTTCTGAGCGTATCCTCGGATAAATTTTCGATAGTAGTTAGCCAATCCCAAGAACGACCTCAGTTGGCGTTCCGTTCTCGGATAGCTCTGTTCGGCTATGGCTGCTACCTTTTCATCATCGGTCTGGATTCCGTCCTTGCTTAGGACATGTCCCAGGAACAGCAGTCTATCCGTTCCGACCTCACATTTGGAGGGTTTGACCGTGAATCCGGCATCTCTGAGGCACTCGAGAGTCGCTCGGAAGGCCTCAACGAAGTCTTCGAAGGTTTTGCCGAAGAAGATGACGTCGTCTATGTAAGCGAAGACATCTTTCTTCCGGGCTGATGCCGTTATTTTGTCCATATGCATTTGGAAGGTTGCTGGTCCGTTGCAGACTCCAAATGGCATACGGTTAAATCTGTACATCCCCTCCGGTGTTACGAAGGTGGTGTAGTCCTTGGAACTTTCATCCATTGGGATTTGCCAGAAGCCGGACTGACAGTCTACTTTGCCGTAGTACTCCATTCCGGCGCACCGGTCTAGTAGTTCGTCCGGGTTCGGTAGTGGGTAGTTATTTTTCTTCGTCACTGAATTCAACTTTATGTAGTTGATACAGAAACGAGTTCCCACTGTGCCGTCACCGTTCCGTTTCGCGGCTAAGACGACAGGGAAGCTCCATGCAGCCGATGAGGGTTCGATGACTCCTTGTTCGAGCATCTCCTGCACATGTTTTTGGATGAATTCCCGTCCTTTCCAGCTTGTCCTGGTGGGGTTCATCTTAATCGGCTGGGCTCCTTGGACATCAATGACGTGTGTTACGCCTTTGACGTCTCCGTATGGTTTCTTCGAGGTTGGAAAGACAGTCCGATAATCCCATGCAACCGCCTTCAGTATGGCGAGTTGCTCGTCGGTCAGGTTCTTACCGAAGTTCATGGAGTCGATGATTCTTCGTCGCTCCTCCTGGGATTCCGTGTCTTCTCCCTCTACTTGGGTCGTGTTGACTCGTGCTTCTTCCATTTTCTGGTCGTCCGTCATCATGTTGAACGGCTCGACTCGGCCCATCGGTGCACCCTTTCGTAAGGTGACCGCATGGTTGGTGTGGTTCGCCACCAAGACGGTAAATGTTTTTCCGTCATGCGTCGTTGCGCCGTCCATCTTGTCGATCCCGTCTCGTTTGGGGTCGGATCCGCCCAAGTACATGAGTTTCTGTAAGGGGGATACCGGGACGTCGAGGACGACTTGTACTTCTGTTACTGTTCGAGGTGGGAGTTGGACTTTCCGTTGAGCTCTGACTCCTGTTGTCTCGAAGATGTCGAACTTGGGAGATGGCCTCGGTTCCGGTCCGGCCGGCCATGTTTTTGCTACTCCTAGTGGGAGTTCCCAAATGACATGCTCATTGTTGATATCCGGTGCGTAGATGTCGCTGTACTGCATGTGGCCGAGTTTTATGCCCTTCTTCAGTACCTTTGGTTGGGAGGTCGTATTCTGGATGTTTATCCAGGCCGTGTCTATCTGAGGTCGGATATCGATCTCGGCT